ATTATTAATTAATATTAAAAGGACTTTATTTTATATAAAGTTTAAAGTAGTAGTTTATAATAGTAATTATTATTAAGATTAAAAGAAGAGTATTTTAAAAGGAAGTACTTTATATATTTATATATATAAGTTTTATTAGGTATTTATAGAAATAAGTATTAAATAAGGTTATATATTAATAATTATATATTTAAATAAAGGTTATAATATTAATTTATTTAATAAAATTTTATTTTCTTAACTTATATTATTTTAAAATATTATATATATATATTTAAAAATAATATTTAAATAAAAGTTTTTAATATAATTTATTTATATAATAACTATTTTTAAACTTAATTTTATTATATAACTCTTTTATAATATTTTAATTAAAATTATTATTAAAATAATATTTTTAATTTACTTTTTTAAATATAAAGTTAAAAGATTTATAATTATAATTTTATAATTAGTTTTTATTTAATTATACTATTATAATTTTATTTAATTTTAACTTTATTTAAACTTTTTTAAAATTTCTTTAATATTTTTTTAAAAATTAAATTTAAAAGTTTTTAAACTTAAGTTTAAAATTTTATAGATTTTAATTTACTTTAAATTAAGTTTATAATCTTTTAATTTTTTAAAATATATTAATTATTTTAAATAATAATAACTTTTTTAATAATAAAATCTATTTTTATATAATTATAAATTTAATTATTAATAATTTTTTATAAAACTATTAAAATTATAAACTTAGAATTATATATAATAATAAAGTATAATTATTTTATTTAAAGGTTATATTTTAATTTAATAAGTTAGTTAAATAATTATTTTTAAGTAGTTTTACTTATAATATAATAAAGTAAATAAATAAATATTTATTTAAATAAAGTTAAAACTTATATATATTTTTAAAGAAATAATAACTTTATTTTTATTTATTTTAATTAATTTATATTAATTTAAGTTATATAATAAACTTAATATTTATATATAATACTTATTAATATTAAACTAATTTATAATTTATAATAATTTTAATTTTTAATAAATTAATAATATTAAATTAAATAAATTAAATATAACTTAATATTAGTTTAATATATTAATATAAAAATAATTTTTAATAATAAATAATATTATAAATATAAATTATAAGATTATTATAGAAAGTTTTATATAATAAATTAAATTAAATTAATTTTAATATATATATAATTATTTTTAAAATATAAAGTTAAAAATTTATAATTATAATTTTATAACTAGTTTTTATTTAATTATATTATATTATTATAACTTTATTTAATTTTAATTTAATTTAAGTTTTTAAAATTTATTTAATATTTTATTCTTTAAAAGTTAAATTTAAAAAGAGTCTTTAAGTTTAAATTTAAAATTTTATAGATTTTAATTTACTTTAAATTAAACTTATAATTTTTAATTTTTAAAATATATTAATTATTTTAAATAATAATATTTTTTTAAAATAGAGATCTATTTTTATATAATTATAAACTTAATTATTAATAATTATTTCTTCTTTTATAAAGCTATTAAAATTATAAATTTAAATAATAAAATATAATTATTATATTTAAAAGTTATATTTTAATTTAATAAATTATATAATAAATTAAATAATTACTTTTAAATAATATTATTTATAAAATAAATAAACTTTTTTAATATAAGATTAAAAATTTATAATTATAATTTTATAATTAATTTTTATTTAATTATATTATATTATTATAATTTTATCTAGTTTTTAATTTAATTTAAACCTTTTAAGTTTTTTAATTTTTTCCTTTTAAGAGAGTTAAAGCTTTATATTTTTTAAATTTAAGTTTAAAATTTTATAGATTTTAATTTACTTTAAATTAAGTTTATAATCTTTTAATTTTTTAAAATATATTAATTATTTTAAATAATAATATTTTTTTAAAATAGAGATCTATTTTTATATAATTATAAATTTAATTATTAATAATTTTTTATAAAACTATTAAAATTATAAACTTAGAATTATATATAATAATAAAGTATAATTATTTTATTTAAAGGTTATATTTTAATTTAATAAGTTAGTTAAATAATTATTTTTAAGTAGTTTTACTTATAATATAATAAAGTAAATAAATAAATATTTATTTAAATAAAGTTAAAACTTATATATATTTTTAAAGAAATAATAACTTTATTTTTATTTATTTTAATTAATTTATATTAATTTAAGTTATATAATAAACTTAATATTTATATATAATACTTATTAATATTAAACTAATTTATAATTTATAATAATTTTAATTTTTAATAAATTAATAATATTAAATTAAATAAATTAAATATAACTTAATATTAGTTTAATATATTAATATAAAAATAATTTTTAATAATAAATAATATTATAAATATAAATTATAAGATTATTATAGAAAGTTTTATATAATAAATTAAATTAAATTAATTTTAATATATATATAATTATTTTTAAAATATAAAGTTAAAAATTTATAATTATAATTTTATAACTAGTTTTTATTTAATTATATTATATTATTATAACTTTATTTAATTTTAATTTAATTTAAGTTTTTAAAATTTATTTAATATTTTATTCTTAAAAAGTTAAATTTAAAAAGAGTCTTTAAGTTTAAATTTAAAATTTTATAGATTTTAATTTACTTTAAATTAAACTTATAATTTTTAATTTTTAAAATATATTAATTATTTTAAATAATAATATTTTTTTAAAATAGAGATCTATTTTTATATAATTATAAACTTAATTATTAATAATTATTTCTTCTTTTATAAAGCTATTAAAATTATAAATTTAAATAATAAAATATAATTATTATATTTAAAAGTTATATTTTAATTTAATAAATTATATAATAAATTAAATAATTACTTTTAAATAATATTATTTATAAAATAAATAAACTTTTTTAATATAAGATTAAAAATTTATAATTATAATTTTATAATTAATTTTTATTTAATTATATTATATTATTATAATTTTATCTAGTTTTTAATTTAATTTAAACCTTTTAAGTTTTTTAATTTTTTCCTTTTAAGAGAGTTAAAGCTTTATATTTTTAAATTTAAGTTTAAAATTTTTATAAATTTTAATATATTTTAAATTAAATTTATAATTTTTAATTTTTAAAATATATTAATTATTTTAAATATTAATAACTTCTTTTAAAGTAGAGGTTTACCTTTATATAATTATAGATCTAATTATTAATAACTATTTTTCTTTTATAAAATTATTAGATCTATAAACTTAAATAATAAAGTATAGTTATCTTACTTAATTATTTCTTAATTTAACTAAGTAACTACTTTTAAATAGTTTTACTTATAATATAATAAAGTAAATAAATAAGTATTTATTTAAGTAGAGCTAGAATTTATATATATCCTTAGTTAGGGAATGGTAGCTTTATTTTTACCTATTTTAGTTAACTTATATCTACTTAAGTTATATAATAAATTTAGTATTTATATATAGTACTTATTAATATTAAATTAAATTACCTATAATTTATAATAGTTTTAACCTTTAATATATTAAATTAAACTAATTAAGTATAGCCTAATATACTAATATAAAAAGTATTTTTAATAATAAATAATATTATAAATAATTATAAAGTTATTATAAAAGTTTTATATAATAAACTTAACTAAATTAATTTTAAAAATATATTATATTATATTTTTTAAGACTTTAATTATTTATTTTTAATTTAATAATAAAATTAAAAATATAAATAGTTTATAAAATAAATAAATAAATATTTATTTAAATAAATTTAAAACTTTAATTAAAAGGATAATAACTTTATTTTTATTTATTTTAATTAATTTATTTAAGTTATATAATAACTTTATATATAGTATTTAATAATATTAAAATTAACTTATAATTTATAATAATTTTAACTTTTAATAAACTAATAATATTAAATTAAACTAATTAAATATAACTTAATATTAACTTAATATATTAATATAAAAATATCTTTTAATAATAAAGTTATTATAAAAATTTTATATAATAAATTTAATTAAATTAATTTTAAAAATATATTATATTTTATTTTTTAAAACTTTAATTATTTATTTTTAATTTAATAATAAAATTAAAAATATAAATAATTTATATATTATTTTTATTATTTTTATTATTTTTTAAAATAATTTAAAATTTTATAATTTTTAAAAATTAAAAATAATAAAATTTAAAACGTTATATTAAAAATATTAAATATTTAATTTATTATAAAATAATATTAAAATATAATTTAAAGTTTTATAAATTTAATAATTATATTTATATAAATTTTAAATTTTAATTAATTAAAAATTAAAAAATTAAATTAAAGTTTTTATTAATTTTATTTTTTTATAAATATATAATAAAACTATTATTAATTTAAATAAAAATTTTTATTTTAAAATTTTTAATTAATTAAAATAATATGTTTTAATTTTTATATAATTAATTAAACTTTATTTAAATAATAATATATTAATAAAATATATAAATAAAATATTATTATTATAATTTAAAGGTTTTAATTTAATTTTATTAATATTATTTTTTTAAATTTTTTATAAACTTTAAAAACTATTTATATAATATATTTTAAAAACTTTAAGTTTTTATTTTTAATATAATAATAAAATTAAAAATATAAATAATTTATAAAATTTAATATAAAATTAATTTATAATATATTAATTTTAAATTTATATTTTATTATTAATAAATATTTAATTTTAAAAATATAATATAATTAAAATTATTAATTTTTATAATATCTTTTATTATAATTTAAATAATATATTATAAATAATTATAAATTATTAAATTTTAATTATTTATAAATAAAAAATATAATTATTAAAAAAAATTATATTAAAAAGTAATATTAAAATTATAGAAGAATTATTTATATATTACTAGAATAGTTCTACTACTATTTAAAGAAGGAATGTATTCCTAGTGGGCCTATTGAAACCTGTGCGCAGCAATGTATGCAATGTAACCAGCAAGGACCCAGCCAGCAAGTCCAAGCTCAATACTCTAAAGACCAGAAGCCCATCTTCTCCAATAACCAAAGTCCCCAAAGCCAGCAGAGCCCAAAATATAGTCAAGAAAAACACGCAAGCCAAAACCTAGGTACTTTTATAAGTTATAAGTTGTATATATGTTCATATTCTCCATGCCATATTTTCCATCATCACATTATAATCATCATCAAATCGTAGATACAGTCGTCATCTGAAAAAAGCTGAAGGGAGGGTCTCCCCATCCCATTAGAATATCCCCAGAGTCTCTTCCACGCCACACCAGTCCGGTGAGTCAGGGCCCAGCCCCGAATGCTCAGCAGGCGCCGCCGTAGCGGACACCCCTCTTTCCGAGCTCCTTGCGCCCGACGGCGTCCTCGGGGAGGACCCAGCCGCGGCTGCGCTTGGCCTCCCTCTTCTCCGCCAGCTGGGGCTGAGGCATCCAGGTGTCGCGGGGCAGGGCCTTCCTGCGCGTGCCCTCAGCGGGGGCGCCGATCTCAGAGCGCGCGGGGACGTGGCCCTCGGGGAGCGGCTCGTCGCTGGCAAGCATGCACAGGCCCCAGAGGGCGAGGCAGGCCGTCATGGGCACGCTGCTGCCGGCGTCGTCCTCGTCATCGTCCTTGGTCAGGTCGATGGGGTCGCTGGCGGTCGTGCCGAGCTGGCAGCTCGTGACCTCGACGAAGCCGAAGTGGGGGGTGCCCTCGAGGCCATTGCGTACGACCACGAGCTCAATCTCGGTCAGGATGAAGCCGTACCGGCAGCCGTGCTCGCGCATCACGTGGTGCAGGTGAGCCAGGCCCTTGAGGTACTCGACCTTCTTGACGTTGCCCTCAACGCGCATGCCCGTGTTGAACCGGTCAAATGACTTGACCAGGCCGACGACGCGGGCTGACGGCTTTCCGCCAAAGATGGCCGCAGCGGAGCTGGCGTCACCCGCCATGGTCGCGACGAACATCTGCTCCGTGTCCTTGGTGGCGTGGGGACCAGACTTGGACGGCACGCTGAGCTGGACCGGGCGGTTGGAGGACAGGGCGAGCGCGGCGTTGAGCTTGGGCAGGTACCAGTTGGCGTAGATGGAGTGCAGCGCCAGCTCCGTCTCAGGGTGGCGCTGCGAGCTCATGGGGCTGGGCAGGAAGCTCTCGGGCACCGGGCAGGTGAGGAGGCTGCTTGCGGCACCGCCAGCGAGCGACATGATGGTGGAGGTGTTGAAGGAGGTCCATTGCCGGACCTGCCTGACGTCCCACCAGAAGTGCTTGATGTGAGGATCCCTCAGGGGGAAGGCGATGGAGTGGACCAGGCTGGGCGCGGGGTTGGACGTGGTCAGGTAGTTGAGGAGGGTTGTGGTGGGGGCGGGGGCCAGGGCTGACGGCTGCAGGACCTGGACTTGCTCCATGGGCTGAGGCTCAGGTGTGAGACTGGCAGCTGGGGCCATGGGTGAGGAGCCGCGCGAGGCATAAGGCTGCTGGTACGACGGGAAGTAAGAGGATGGGGCCGGAAGGTTTGTCAGGTCCGCTGGCGTTGAAACAGGCAGCATGGCCGGGGTGGCTTGGGGGGTTGGCGTGGGGCTGCCCGAGTGAGCGGTCGCCTGCCCGGCGGCCGGGACGTAGGCGGGCATCTGACGGTATGTTGGGAAGCCATACTTTTCTATCGTGACCTCGTCAAGGTTGCACGACGAAGCACGCTGAGCGCGGTTGTCCAGTGTTGACGTTGTTGTTGCTGGGGTGAACTCGGCACCTGTGAACATGACCGGGGAGCACAGCAGGCTGGAGGAGTTGAACTCTTCTGGGAGCGTCGAAGGGAACGAAGCAGCAGACACAACCGGGGTAGGGTTGTAGCTGATGGTCTCCGGGTTTGTGTAGCTGCGCTGGTGTGTGGGTCGGTAGGCGCTCCTGTTGGCCACTGGAGCTGGTGCCGGTGAGGTCCTTGCGCGCTTGGAAGGCCTTGCCTGGGGCTGGGGCACAGCGTTCGGCACAATGTTCTGGTCCTGGGAGCGGATCTTGGGCAGCAGCATGGGGCCATGAGTGCGGATGGGCGACCGCGAGGGCGTGGTCCTGCGTGTGCTGGTGCTCACGATCGAGTCGGATGGCGACGACTCGAAGGAGTAGATAGAAGACCCATTGGAGACGGTCGAGACTGATCGGGAGTGACCAGAGTGGCCATGGTTGTGGGTGAAAGGGATCTCCAGCAGGGAAGAGTCGAAGCTGAAGTTGGGAGGTGTAGTTGGGTTACACGGAAAGGTGAAGTCGAATTGAACATCCCCTGCCAGACTGTAGGGAGCAGTGGTGTCAGCGGTGTTGAAGAATAACGATCTACAATATCATACACAACTTACGTGGACATGATGTCGAGCAGACAATAGTCAGTGTGTTCGAGACACACGACAGTAAAATTATAATTGTAAAATGGGAAAAATGAGTCTGACAAGGGAGGCCCGCTCCGTTTGTGTCGATGCAGTCGAGTCCCGGGGTGGGGAACAGGAGTGAAGAAGGGTGTAGGTGTAGGCGCAGAGTCGCTGTGAGGCGTTCTGAAGAGGCAGGTCACGTATCAAACGGCCGGCCTGGGCCTATTTCTCTAACAAAAGTTGAAAGGAAGGGAATATTTGTTTGAAGGTAGGATAATGGGTGTGAGTGAAGTCCGAGGAAGACCTCAATAACACTGGTTAGAGATGCGACAGAAAGGATGGGGAGTTGAAGCGAAACAAGTAACAATGATGGGGGGGATGTGCCAGATGTTTAAATCTTCGTTAGAGAACTGCCCGAATGAGCGGTCGACCAGAGGCGGCTCAGAACAAGTACTGTGTAGGTCAGGTCTCGCGGTCTACCGAGCAGTCCGGAACCATGAGCCGACCTGGACAGGACATGGGCGCGGACGCGCCATCAGCCGACTCGAGGCGTGTATAAGTCGGGAGTGGAGCCCTCGGGACTTGCCCATGGCCCAAGCACCGTAGTAACAGGCCGGCAGAGCAGAGTCCATGACCGGGGTGGGGAGGAAGAGAATGACAAGGGGACTGGACTAGGAACTTTGGGAAGTACACAGAAAAGTACAATGGTACGAGGCGCATCTGCTGCGGCTACCCAAGATGTCCAAGTCGGGAACGGTTCAGATAGCAGCGCGGCTGCTATGATTACTAGACCCAGAATGATCCTGAAACACGAAGCCAGAGGTAGCCCACAAGCCCGGCGCATGTCACTCGACGTTGAGGGAGGGCAGAAGTGGTGACCAGGCTTGTTAGAGAGTTGTTGACTTTGGCGGTTCATGTGTGGTGGTCTGTCGGCCGGCGACCACGAGACCCGCCAAGGCGCGGATGAGTACACGAGCAGCCCATAGCGGGACGGTGTGGGCGGAAGTACCTCGGGGACACAAGTGATGTCCTCTGCCCTGGGGGCCGGGGTACCGACTGCGAGGCCTGGCTTGGGCTTGAAAAATGCGATCCTGGAAGGCCATTGGAAGAGGCGGTAAACGACCAAGATGGGGCCACGGCTGCCACGGTGGGAGAACGCGGTGAGGACGGGAGAATGGTGCCCCCCCGGTCACGACGTCGAAAAGGAAAAGGAACGAGATGAGGTCGGACAACCCTGCAGGTGCCGCATAGTGCTACTGTCCCTGCCGGCTGGCCTGCTGGTCCAAGCTCCCTTCCGCAGAGGGAATAAATCGACGTTGAGCGCGGGAAGATGGGATGGTGGACTAGGTCCTGGGGTCGGGGCTGTCCAAGGGCTGTTCTGGAAGCTGAGTGGCTGGTGGATGGTGGGACTGCATGCGGGTATCCAGCCCTGCATTGGTGCCATTGGCGTTTATGACTCACAAAATAGACACATGGCAGTCTGTCGCAGCAGCAAAGCTACTGTGTAGCTCCTCGAGCTTCTGAGTTGCTGAGAATGCCATGGAACCTCTGCTGATCGGTAGGTCGAGGCATCTCAAGGACAGGGTCTGGGTTGCGTGAGGGTGGCATCGGGCGTGCATGTCCACTGCATAAGCCTAGTGTACTGTACCTGTGTCTTCGAGTGTCTTCCCTGGCAGCCCGGCAGCCCTGGACAGCCCTCTCCCCCAACCTGGCAGCCTGGGTGGTAGACAGTCTTGATAGTGCACTTGGCCCTGGTGTGCGGATGCGGACGCGGACGCGGATGCGGCATGCAGGCGCACCGCAGACAGACGCAGACGCGGGTTCGTGGGGTGGCGAACACCCGGGCGGCCGTGGAGGAACGCGTTTCTGGACCGTTCGGCACAAAGAAGACGCGATGGTGGCTCGAGTGCTGCAGAACACGTCGAGAACGTGACCACTGCAGTCGGTACGGAGTAGTGCTGGGCGTAGCACGCGGACAGCTTCCGTCCAGGTTCGACCTCGGCCGGCGCTCATCATCGTTCCTCGAGAGTTGAGAAGCGAGAGTCGAGGCAAACCCCTCACCAGGCCAGCTGGCACCTGCTGACTGATGATGGACAACCCCCTCCCTCAGTTGCCCTGCTGGTCTGCCGGCCGTCTGGTGGCCCTGATCGTGAGTGGGACTGCGTGCCTCGTATGTACTTTGTGTACCATGTACTCTGGTACTCCGTACTGATGGGCGACTTCTGGATCCTGATGGCCCCTCTGTGGTGCCTTAGTTGTTGTTACAGTACTCCGTACACTGGCAGCATGGCAACGTCACTCCATGGCCTGCATTGATGAGGCAATTTCGCGAGCTCGTGACCCGGCGGCAGCGTATTCTCTCACGATGCGGGGAGCTGAGGCCCACAGAGCTTACCCAGGTGGGAGGGGCTCCGGCCGAGGGTCCTGAGGTCGTCGGGCCTGGCGAACACCCGGACACCCCTGGGCAACCAAGCCCAATGTGCTGGCCGGGCAGTTTGAGGCTCTGTCTCATGGCGCTGGTCAGGCCGCAGTGCGCCAATGTGTCCACTGTTCATACAGAGTCGTCGTGCGCTCCACCCACAGACCAGTGCCCATATCAGGCGCGATGCCTATCATCTCATCCCCATGTACTTGTCCCGATGGCTTGAGATTGTCGCCGAATGCCGACAGCCGCAGCGAAGTAAAAGTGCGATTCCGCGGCACGAATGGCTTGAGCGAACACGAGCAGTGAGCAGTGCGCAGTGAGCAATTACTGTGTGCGCGCTTACTATTTTAAGCGCCATGGCAGATTGCTGTGTGCGATCGATGCTGATGTCAAGATGCAGTGCAATGTCGGACAGGCAATGTCTGTGCGGGCGGGCAGGCTGATGAGATGAGCGCAGAGGAAGCGGGAAGGGAAGCTCGGGCGGCTAATGAGATTACTTCCGTGCGGTACGGCTGCACACTGCGGCAAGCGACGGCTTAGGTAAGTAATAAGCAGGTACCTAGGTACCTAGGGAAGCAGCAGGAGCAACCGGGCGGCTAGAGATGCTATGGTCTGTGTCCCTTGGGTGGCCGTCCTCCCCCCTTCCGGCCGGCTTACTATTACTGCGCCTCGTCGTCGTCGTCAAGGGCGTCTAATAAGACCCTCGTCCAGCTGAGATGAGTTACTACACACCTAGGTAGTAAGCGACCTGGGGGATCAAATCTCGCGTGTATGATCGCTTGACGTAGTCGGCAATGAAAAAGAAGCGCGCGGTGGTCAGTCAGGCAGGTGGCTCGGCAGTGCCCATATGACGGGCTGGAGCGTGTTGCGCCGTCTCATTGGGCAGACTGGCGGCTCCTGAAATTGCCCTGCCTTGCCTGCCTACTCCCTCCCCTTGGAGACTGTGCTCCTGTAGGGCAAATCGGATCCCCAAGATGCCGTGCCTCTCAAGCCTCAACGTAGCACAGCCTCATCCGAATCGCAAGCAGGCGCGTAGCGATACCGGCTCATCGTCACCGGGCCAAGACAGCTGGACGGCTAGTTTGATCTCCTGTCTTTGCCAGTACCACAGTATCAGGTTGATACCTCTTACGCTGCAACCAAGACAAGCAAGACAACCAAGACGAGAGAAAGGGAAATGGCGTGCGCCCCCGCCCAAGCAGCCCCAGCAGAACCCACCCAGGCAGAGATCTACCCGGATCATCTCAGCGATCATCACCCGTGACACCGGAACGGGGCGACGGGGCTCAGCACCACACCAGTGACTGCCAGACTGCCAGACTGCCAGGACAGCGCGAGAATCGCTCGAAACCCCAACCGTGCCCCTCTGTGATTGGGCAGCGAGCACGCGCTCTCCTGGTCGTGTCTCCGGCGCGTTGCAACCTTGGATCGGCGACCCGGCGCCGTGGACTAGTCCGTAGATTTGGACGACGTGTGCCCGCTCCGTCATCATTCATGCGGATGCAGTGCTACGATGGACGATGACTCTTTCGAATTTCGCCCCTCCCTTCCCCCCCTAGTCAGCCAGCCAGCCAGCCAGCCAGCCAGCCAGCCCAGCCCCAGCCTCCACAATCCGGTCCATCTTGCATTGAATCTACTGTAAGGGTAGTAAGTACACTACCTGACCAGGGAAGAATTCGCCTTATTGTGTAGTACCCAACTCGCCTCTCTTTCGGTCAGCCATGGCCGGCCCTGATGATTGCTGGTGATGCGGTGTGCCCGTCGTGTCGGATGGTGCGCCTATCCACTTTTACAAGGTTTTGCATAATGTCAAATTTCCCCTTCCGGACCACCCACGATCGGCCTGGGTGTGTGCAGTCTGGCAGTCTGGCAGTCTGGCAGTCTGGCAGTGCAGGCTTCTTTCTGGCAGGCTGGCCCTGACAGAACAAGCCGGCATGCCAACTCACCGCCGCCGTCAGCGAGGCACGAATGCACGTACAATGCACGAGTGCACGCATCAGGCAAGCCTGCATAGCCTCCCCCACAACGTACGAGGTGAGTCACAGCCGCAGGCACAGGGCAATCTTGAAACATGCCATCACCGCGGGAGGAATCTGAAACATGAAACAAAAAATGGGAACACGGCCCTACGGTCTTGCGTGTGGGGTGGGCAGGTGGGCAGGTGGGCTGACTGGCTGACTGGCAGACCGGCAGACCAAGAATGCAGGTGTGTCCAACTGCCTCCCAGTCTCCTTTCCCCTTTCGGCCCCCCTGTCATGCAGTGCCATGGGCCAGCAACAGCCATTCGGAGCGAGCACCTACGGCCCACACAAATTAACGGACCCCTACACCGCAAACCACCAGCCTGCCAGCCTGCCAGCCTGCCCAGGCCTGCCAGATTTCTTGCACTCCCGCTTGCCTCGCTTGCCTCGCCTCGGCCTCTCGGATCTGACAACTCGCCTATCTGCGCTGGGTGGATACCGCCGCCAGTCCAAGACTGCCCAAGGAGTCCTTCGTGTGTATCCATCACCGCTACTTCTGAGATCCCCCTCCTGTCTCTCGTCCTTGCCAGGCCCCAACCCCTCCCCCCTCGCTCGAAAGTGGATTCAACAAACCCTGGAAAATTCTAGAATTTTCATGCCGTGCTGTCCGTAAAAGGGGAGCAGAGACGATGCAGGCATCCGACAAGGAAGGACAGGCGAGCACCTGCCTCTTTTCGGCACTCTGGCACTCTGGGGAGCAAAGAGGGGTGAAGGGACTGACTGAGGCTTCGATTGCGACGCGAGAAAGTCCACCTCTCCCACTTCTGGATTCCCGATCCTGGAGCCGGCCTGCCAACCTGCCAGCCTGGGAACCCGCGGAACATCAGGGAAATGCCACAAGACAAGGGGCCAAGGGGCCCAAGAAGTGACAAGGTCATCACAGCAGCACAGACAGAGATCAAGGCTGGATGGGCGTGATGACAATTGAGTGACGAATCCTGCCTACTGAGCTTTGCTCTCAGTTCCCCCGGCCTCACTCACCACCCCACGCGAAAAACCCGTACCTGAACTCTAGCAGAGACTCAGAGCCTCCTATCCAATGCTTTCTCGTGCCCTTGTCTTACCTGAAGCTCCCCAGGTCCCGAGCGATTGGGACGCTCTCTAGTGTCTCCGTAGATTTGCTCCTAGTCTGGAATGGTGCCACCTCTCCCCATCGCCTTCCTCTCTCTTGCCTTTACTATGTAGTAGTCTCAAGGTCTCGCAAACCCTCACGCCCCCTGTCAGAGGGACCTTGGAACTCCCAACCTTGGAAGCTTTTCTTTGCATGAACACTATAGTGCCGTGTAGCGTCGCCACTTGCTACCCACTCTGCCAAAGTGCCAGCTGAGTGCACACACGGCAGTGCGAGGAAGGCAGGCAGGCAGGCAGACTAGCAAGACTAACAGAACAGGCTAGTCAGCCGTCTGCCCATGAAGGAAGCACAGCCTCGCCGCTTGCCAGCGCAACAATTGGACCGCGGATCTGCACCCGACACCAGCGACCTGGGTAGCTACTACAGTAGGTAGTTAGGCAGCTAGGTCTGCAATGCCTCGCTCTATCTCCGTGCAGAGAAACGTCGCCAGGAATGCCCGAGTCCCCGTCCACCCTTCCAACCTCGCTCTGAGTTTGGTCCAGGACAGACCCCTCCTCTCATCCACCCAATCCACCCAATCCACCCAATCCACCCAGTCCACCCAGAGACCTAGAGGGATCTCCTCTCCACTCACTGCCCAGCCCCCCGGACCACCAAAAAAACTCTGAGAAGAGGTCTAGTCTGCCTTAGCGTGACGTGTTGGCCGGTGGACAGGTGGACAACACGATACGATCCTCCCCACCGTGGGAACTTGCGTAGCAAGAACCCGCCCGAGGTCCCAGAGATCTACGATCAACTCATGGGGCTCGTGGCGATTAAGGACCTTGTGCGGGATATATCGGGGTGGGGGGTGGGGGGCAAGATGGTCCAACCTGTTGGGTACATGCTGGGTTGTGGGTTCATGACAGATGGATAGCCTGGGAGCGAGAGGGGCAAGCGAGCAAAGGGTCCTGTCGTCTGTTCGACCAGGACTGGATGGAGGCGACCAATGGCGCCTCAACGAATATGTGGACGGCGGCCGAGATGGGCCGCGGCGAAGACGACGACGACGTGCTGAACCGGAACATCCTCATGCTCAACCCGTCGGTTCCATCCCATGCTGCTCGCATCGTCCCATCCCGTCATCCCATCCCCGACATGTTCCATATAGTCAATCTATGCCTACAACACCCAGCACATCCAATGCCAGGCCTTCATGCTCAAAGTGTACATCGTAGAGGGGGATGGAGGCCCACTGTCCTGTCAGGGCCATAAGCCAAGAGCGAATAAGACATGTAGTAGGCAAATTCGACGAAAGGGTATCTATCCATTGTCAAGAAGAACAGTGTAGTCGAAAACGTAAAATAGTAAAGAAGGCATGTGCCACCCATGCGCTCGTTCCATCCCTCCCTTGTCTAGACACCATTTCCATCCAATCCGGGGCATCTTTTCCAGCATCCCTCTATTCCGCCACTTATATTGAGTATATATTTTCGTGAAAGCCCTGGCCTAGTCTCTTCTGTCGCCACTCTGTACAAAGAGGGTTAAGACCAGGGAAGGAGGCCCTTGATAGTCCGTATCATTCGCGCCTCGTAAATCCTGTAGATCCTTTTCTTCTCTTTGCGTAAACCCCCCAACAGTAGCTCAACGTGCGTGCTGGTGTCATGTGCCAGCGCCACCGCCGCCTTGTTGTCTCGTCTCGGTAGGGCTCGGTGCTTTCCCCGGCGGCAATGGGGGCAGTGGGCCGTCAACCCTTGAACCAGTCGAGTCCGCTTGTGAGGCCTGGACCGCTCGGACCGTTGACTGAGCGCTCGGATCAACGTCGGCCTTGCGGTCCGCTTGGAGCTCGAGCCCGGCCAGCGCGATGGGCGCATTGAGGCCCATATGGGCCCCAGTAACATCGTCGCCGACACCACTATCAACATCGGTGTCAAACCCCGAGGTAGGAGCATCCAGATCAGTCCCTGGGCCGGCATCAACCTTGACCTCGTTCAGCTTCCGCATCGCCCTCTTCATGCCCTCCAACCTCATCTTCTCCAAGACCACCATGCCCCTGGCAAGCTCCCTGATGGCCCTCCTTCCCATCTTCTCATGCATGTCCTGCCAGCCGGCAAGCTCCATCGCCACGGTCTGCTGCGTATACCTCAGCTCGCGTGATAGGTTATTGACCTCTGCCTGGCCAGCACGCATGCGCTCCTCACGCTCCTCATTGAGCCGCTGGCGCGTGTCGTCAAGAAGGCCCAAGGGCCAGCGCGTAGACCGACTGAGAGATGTGAAGTTACGCTCGACAGTTCGACGCGAAACGTTGATCTGGTTGATGAGCCGCGGTGGGCGGGCAAGAGCCGAGAGGATAGCGTCAATAGTGGACTGCAGCGCTAGCAGGGTTGAATGAAGAGTTGAGTACGGGTTGACTGTGGTTGGGGCCAGCGCGCGGACGTAAGTCTCAAATGCTGTGATGTGAGTCTTCGGCAGAAAAGGTAAGGTTGTTATGGCCCGGTGGAGTAGGACAGAGGAGTCGTAGAGATCTGCGATGTAGTGTTAGACAACATTTTATGTCGAAGAGATGGTACTTGTTTGCGAAACATACCAAAAGCACGAGTGCCCACGATGTTCGTTCGCCGCGCAACACTCTTCGTGGAGTGATTGACGCCGCGAACGTTTTCGCGGGCGTGATCTACGAACTGCTCGACCTCACGGATGTCGTCGAGCGGCTCGAATTCGTCGCGGACCTTCTCCGCACGCGTCTCCGCCTTGAGCTTGCTCCGCTGCTCCATCATGTCTGGCTGAAGATCTGGTACCAGGAAGAACTCCCACAGCATCTCATGGGTCGCGAACGTGGGGTGGGCGAGGAGAATGCGGAGGAACCAATCCATACGAACCTGCAAGTCCTTGAGGACAGCCCGGCTGGGTTTCACTGGGATCTGAAACGGGGACCGCAGAGCGGCGAAGGACGGTATCCACGACGCCGGGTTCTCCATGGCCAAAAGCTTCGCCAGGTGCTCGAAGTCTGTGAGGGATCTCCTGCACGTCGTGACTGCATAGCTATGCTTGTCCACCGGCGCGCCTGACTTCAGGACGAATCGTACACTGGCATCTTCCACGAAATATGACCTGACGACAGCAGTCGTCCGGGAGTCAGGCCCTGGGGGTGCCGCAAACAGAACAAGGTCGTCTATCTTATTACGAACGTCGTCGTCCTTGGCTAGGTCCACAGCCGTCAGGCCTCGCAGCTCCTTGGCCGTGATATCCACCCGCGCATCTCCAAAGAAAGCGCGCACAACATCAAAGCGCCCGTACTTGCTTGCGACCATGAGTGGCGTGAATTTCCTGTCGTTGATAGCGTTGACATCTGCATCGCACTTTTGCAATATCCGCAGGCACAGTTGAGCGTCATTAACAATATGCAACAAGGTGTTGCCTTTTCCGTCAATGTGATCATCGAGGTGAAGTGGCTGTCCGTCACCTTGACAATCTTTTGCAATCTCCAGGGCCTGCTGCACCATAGTGTGGTATAGCGCATGGTCGTATGACCGGCATATGGCAAAAAGAGGCGTCTGACCATTCTTGTCCTTCTGAGTCCATGGCATCATCCTCCCGTAACCAACAATGAGGTAGGGTGCGTGGAATAGGTAGTGGGCTACGCTGCGGCCCCATACGTCTTGCTTAGCGAAGTACACCCTCATATGCTCCTCAGTAACAGTAGGCTCATCAACCATGAACTTCAAAATGATGTTGGTGAGCGGCTCGTGGCCCAGCTGTACGGCAGCGCTGAGCAGAGTGGTCCCTTCATTGTTACTGTCTGACAGGACAATGGCTGGCGTGTAATAAGATTTGAGATCCAACAAGTATTTCAAGGTTTCTGGGCGCTCATTCTGCACGGCCATCATCAGGACTGATTCGCCGAAAGAGTCCTGGGTTTGCGAGAGACGCTCGATGGATGTATCGCCTTCAATCCCGCTACCGATGGTCCCGATGCTCGCGGTGCGAGAGTGGAAAGAGATCTCGGAAGAGCTCGATAGGCTCCGCATGTCCATGGTGACTCTTTTGATCTTTCTCACAGGGAAAATGCCGTCTGTGGCGCCATCAAGACCGTCTTGTTTGGAGAACGGAAAGACGTGGCTGAGATCAGATCCTAGCGAGAAGCGCTCAGAAGTACTGAGCGCGGCCGAAGAAGGTCTGGACGAGCTGTTCGCGAAACTCCAGTGACTACTCGTTGAGGTGCGACGGCTCGAACGTCTCGAGGACGCCGCAGCAGCCTCTTCCTCATCGAGAGCATCTGCGACCGCGTCTCCGCTCGGTTCCATGATCTTTTGCAAGGTTTCCAAGTCTCCCTGAGACGTAGCATCCCATAGCGACTTGTTCCGTCGGCTTGCTCTTCGAAGTCCGGCCGAGTCACGGTCAAGATACAGCAACACGGCCTCGAACGTACTCAGAGCATACCCCATCTCACCGCTGTCTACATCATCGACAAAAATGAAGTGACGCATGTACAGGAAACGTGCCTGCAGATGCTTGACTTGTGCTCTGATGAGTATAAAGAGTAAGAGCGATACCAGGGTGTCGGCATTCATGTTGAGGATCCCTTTCTCTGAGGACGAGCTTGTGGACTGGTCGCCAGGTGCTGACGGTGTATCGCCCAGCTGCGTCACTGTCTTCATTGTGGACAAAAGAATGTCCATCATCTCCGGCGGGCTGCCAGCGTTTGTGATCTTTTTGAACTCGTCAATCGCCCGCGAGAGCCGGTAGATGAGGGCCTGCTTGCCCCGGTGGCCACCTTCAATGACGATGCCCAGTTGTGAAACATCAACAAAATCCATCTGGCGGATCTTGGCCTCGAGCTCCAGGTCCTCTGGCCTCTTCAGAGCAGCCAGTCTTGGAAACAGAAGGTTGTGTACGTTCTCGGTGACGTATCGCTCTATCAAGCGTTCAACCACCGGCCCTGTCAGCTCAGTTGTGGCTCCCAGCAACGACAGCTGTTGCTTGTCAACGTTTTGGAACAAGTCAATCGCGTTGGTGACGGCGGTCTCGAGCGAGACTCTGAGAACCTCCTCGTCGTCTTCTGCATAGAATGGTTCGACGACCCTCTTGCCGCCATTGCCATTTGGGGAGGCCTGGAGCTGTGACATGCTGTTCGATCTAGCTTTCCTAGTTGCTGCAGCTATCGGGCCGTCCGGGAATGGGTCTGGGATGTGTGACGCAGATGGAGGCGGTGGGAGCGGCCTTTCTATGACGGCCGTGAACTCCTGGAAGAGCCGTTCAAGTCCGGACTGCATTTGCCGCGCAATCACGGGGAAGTGGTTCAGCAGGTCGTGAAAGCTCTTGATCTCCTTCTTTTTGGGGACCATTCCAGAATCGCTTGATTCGGCGCCTGGCGATGCGCCGTTTTGTTGTAGCGCCATGGCTTTCCTTGTCCCCTCGACGAGCACCGCAGGGATGATCTTGATCTCCTCCCACGATCCCACCAGAGGTCGCGATATATGGTATACCAGCCAGGCCCTCGGTTCCAGCGTGTCGGGGTAGAATATCGAGTCGCCAAGGAGGTTGGCAGAGGCCAGGACCTTGAACCCTGCGAGATAGGAAACCTGTCAGCATTCGTTGCGCTGCGCCGGGCCCCAGCGAGATGCTCTTGGAGTGGACGCACCTTTGTTGGTGTATATGACATTGTCCTTGATGACGATGTTCCTCCCGTTGATTGTGTTATACTGCTTCGCCTTCCCCCTCATCTCGCGCAGGTTGGGAGCCGACTCCTTGCCCCCTCCGCCGCCTCCGCCGCCCGTTGGCTTGGCCGGGTCGGGTATGCGCAAGACATGGCTGGCGAGGAACTCTTCAGTAGAGACGGAATCGGCGAGGCTGGCGCCGGGGGGCGCTTCGGTCTCGCGGGAGGTGAGGAGAACATCCGTGGAGGGGACAAGGAGGATGTGACCCTGGGTGGGAAGGCACTGGCCAGGGAGAGAGCTCTTGAAGAAGGCGGCGAGGAAAGGATTTAGGGGTTGCATTCATTCAACTGTGCTCCCGCAACTCCCCTGCAGTCGCTCTTCTTTAGCATTGAAGTGCCTTGCACGTCCTTGTTTGGCGCAGAGGACGGATGAGGTTGTCGTCGTCCGGAACACAAGGGTGTGCCAGCGTGGATGTGGCAAGATAGGATGATGGACCGCCCTGGTTGGGATGTTCGTGTCCAGGTCCGGATCCCGTCAGCCCGTCTGTAGGGGGGGGGGCGCTTGGGTCGAAGAAGCCCAACGAAGCTATGGCCGAGATGTGGTTGCTGTCGGGGAGCTCACAGAAGCTTGAAACTGTGCTGGTGGGCAGAGGGTCCAAGGGGGGGCGAAAAAGATGAGAGAAGGTCGATGTCTCGAAGCTAGCGTGTTGGGCTCAGGGGAGAGAGCACTTTGGCCTCTGTACGGAGTAGCTTGGAATGATGCCAGAGACATGGACACCTGCAGTTTTGGGAGTGACTTCAGCGGCCCACCGTCTTGGCTCAGCCGCTGGGGCTAGCTGCGACTACGTACTCCGTACCTGAAGTGGACACAGGCAAGGGTGCTGTTGCAGATCCCGGGGCCCACTCTTGGAATGCTTCCCCCTACTGTGACTGACCACTGCCTAGGTAGATCGCGGGAGGGGACATGTTCTTTATCACATGTTATCCGGTCCCCTTCTGCTCTGCACACAGCGCAACCATCGCTCCGGGACCAAACTCAATTTCGACAAGATAATCCCATGGTCATGAACCCGCGGTCGTATTTGGCTAGGTGCCCAGATGCCGTATCGCCGCTTTGTTCGATCTTAGCCCAGGGGCCTCCATCTGGACTGCAACGTCCAAGGGTGGTCCTGGTTCGAGGTTGACCATCCCCCTGGTGGTGGACGCTCAGCAGCTTTCCACGCGATACAGACTTGTCCTCTCCATACGGGTGAGGACCATGACATATTGGCCGGAAATTCGAGTCACTGTGTCTGTGTCACTGCACCGTGGTATCGCGGGATCCAACCGTCCAGTTCGACAGGACCAAGCAAAGCAGGGCATTGAAGCAGCAAACTATCACACCACATCACCTGGACACTCACCTAACTGCAGATTCAAAACATACTCAACAGGTAGCAGCGGGCTCTCTTGGACTCTGGTTACGGCCTCGTCAGTAGTATCCATGTTGCCCTTGCTTGTGTACGGCACTCCAAGTCCAACGAACGAGGCATCCGACGGAGTTGTTGTTTACGCTCGAGGCCCACGCGGTCAAGGAAGGATTTATGAGGGATCTGAAGGCATAGCTCTCTACGTCTCCTTGATGATAATTTGTTGAGGGGTCAGGCGGGGATTTGTTCCAGGACCGCCATCACCACAGCGAATAATGAATGGTATCAGGCGGGATGAAGGCTTGATGCAAATAACCGTGTTCCTTTCGGCTAGTAGGCAAGAACTCGGCAAGACATGGCGGTCTCGACTGCACCGGACACCACATCAGAAATAGGCAGGGAAGATAAGATCAGAAATTCGCTGGGTTTTGAATTGATGGCCTTGGGTCTCCCAAATGACTAAAGGCAAGCTATGCATTGAAACGCGAGTCCCCCCCAGAATCATCAACTCGGTCGATGTCGAGATAAATGGCCTCTTCCGTACTCCAGAACTCCGACAAACCTTGACGACCATGAATGACCCGGGACCGACCCTACCTATAAACTCCGATGTAATGACCATGTGCTGTTCCGAGCTTCCAATAACACAACAAAAGAAACGACAAGATCCAACGCACTGCGATAGAAGTCGTCGGGCAAGCGAGTGACGGCTGAATGAGAAGATCTCCGACTGGATTATGTTGAGGAGCATTGGCTTTCGATGGCACAAAAGCTCGGCGGCCCAAGCCCAGCGACGAGCCATGGTTTGTCGGGCGGTTGCTTGGCCCGATACCTTCTGTCGATGGCGTGCAAGCTCAGGCCCTTCCCCGGCAGCGCAGCGTCATACGGCAACAAGCCGCAAGCTTTGGCTTGGAGTGAGGCGGCTAGATAGCAGAGCTCGATAGAGATCCATGGGCACCTAGGTAGCACCGAGCAGGTAAGAGATCGCTATCCGGGGGCCGATGCTCGCAGGCAAGGTTGATGGCGGATGCAAGGCAGGATTTGGTCGGCTTGTCCAAGAGATAACACCACTGAATCCAGCTCCACAACAGTCGCCAGAAGAGAAGCCCAATGACTTACGCAATCACCATCCTACCGCCGTTGCTGTTGATGCAACTGCTGCTTGTTCTTCTGGCGGCTCCTCCTCTCTTCATCGCGATTCTCATCCTCAGAACTTCCTTCATCAAGATTCAAGGCTGCGGCGTCGTTGTCCTTACCTCGAAGATCGACAAGCCTCGGTCGCTCGCTGGACGTCCGCAGCATCCTAGACCTCTCATCCGAATTCTCGTCAAGCAATTCGCCGTCGGCAGTGTCGTATTCCGGGGGCTCGATCCAGTCCCTTGGTACTATGCACGGGAGTGCGACCCCGATGCTCGCGGCTCTGTTCAGCCATCCGGGGCCAGGCCTCCCTGTTAACCTCTGGCAGAGGTGTGCCGTAAAGTGGTTGCAGTTCTTGGTGAGGAGGTTATACGACGTGCCCTGGAATTCTTGTGAAACTTCATGTATAATCGCATCGATTTCGTTCTGGGGCGACAACGTGAAGCCCTGGAGGATCTCGTGCTTGAAGGTACCTCCTGGAGGTAAGGTCTTGGGCTTTGTCCAATAAACACCGGTGACGCCTCTCTTATCATGCCCGCCGTATGCATATTCTCTGCCGTTGATAACGACACCGCTGTGTAAGAGTGATGTTCCTATGGCCCAGAGGAATGAGGAGAACCTGCCCGGCTGTTTGACGTTAGTATTGATGATCAAGGATGCGGAAGATGAGAGGTGGGAGATGGTTGAAGGGAAGCACGCGTACAGGCAGTAGGTCGTAGACATGAATGACGATCTCGGTCTTTTGCAGCGACAGCGTCGACCGATGCGACCGGACTGATTTCGAGGAGGGCTTTCGTGGAGCCATCTTGACAGCCTCCAGTGTGTGGGTTCTATCGAGGTCGTTGGCGACGGGAGGGGCGGATGCAACGGAGGAGGTAGGTGGGGTGGTCTACTGTGTATGTGGTTCCTAGCAGGCGGTTAAGAGAGCCACGATCGGCAGAGGGACGGCTCCGTCCAGGCAGGCTGCCCTGCGCAGTGAGAGATAAAAGCTGGTGAGTCTGTACAGGTGTACGGGTGGATGAAACGCTCAGAGGGCTGTCTGGTGGGTGAAACAGGAGACCAGAGTAATCGTTCGTCCCTCGAAACAATGCGGCCTGCTAAAGAGGCCGGTGGTGGTGGCCCTCTCAATTGATGATGAAGGCGGCTGGGGAGAAGGCGACCGAGTAAGGAGGCTTTGGGATGCAAGACAGGGTCGCTGCTGACGGGTTAGATGTTGGCGTGCTGCCCGCTGATGACATACCTTGCCGCATAGCTCGGTGCCAGTCTAGTACGTTACGTCCGAGGCTGGGGGATCCTCCCCTCGTCTGGTCTTGGGCACAGGTCAGGGTTGGTTCTAGTTGCTCGCGACGCCAAATGAGTCGGCCTGTCCGCATTTAGAAGACCCAGGAGCGGCCCCATGTCGAATTTCAAGGTTCCCCAGAGAGAGAGAGGGAGCTCGGTCCAAGGCAAATCATTAGCGGGACTGCGGCTGCAAACGCCTGCGTGTTGGACTGCCTGACTGCACGCTGCACCGTATTTCGCCCCAGCCGCCGTATCGACGTAACTGCGCAGTACCTGATCCACCTTGGGTGGGGCGAGGCGTCGGCGCTGTGGTTTTGCCGCCTGCCGGCCGTTTCCCTTTTTTTTTTTCAATGGAGCACCAAGAGCTTCGCAGTAGTGCCCCGCCCTAGTGAACAGGATAAGAACTTGGAAGCAGGGCGAACAAGGCTCTGCAAAATTTTGAGCTGTTCTAAAGTTGGGCAAGGAGAGCAGTCTTCCGCCTCTCTTCCAACCACACAATCCCTCCATTGACACGAGAAAACCAGTGAACAACTCGGGAATCGAGTTCAATATTCCCTCGAGTATCACACTTCTTCTCTGAGGCTGAGGTTTGGGCAAAGGTCGCCGTGTTGGGGCTGGAAACAGCCCGTCCTAGTCGCGACCACGTCTCTCCTGCGACCCCCGCACCTTTTCTCTTCTATCCCTCGACCGTTTTCCCTGCCCGCAGCTAGCTCTGCTTTTCAACCACACCCCGTGCTAAGCTGCACATTCATCTTCCTTTCCACTCGTCACTACGCAAAGAAGAGGAAAATGCCTCCCAAGAAAGCTGTTGAGGAGAAGAAGATCCTTCTCGGCCGCCCTGGCAACAACCTGAAGAGTGGAATCGTGAGCCCTCCTCCTGCCGCCCCTCCCCCAACCCGACCATCTGCAACCTCAGGCCGCCTCTGACTGTCTATCAGGTCGGCCTTGCAAACGTCGGCAAATCCACCCTCTTCCAGGCCATCACAAAGTGCCAACTGGGCAACCCAGCCAATTTCCCCTACGCCACCATCGACCCCGAAGAGGCCCGCGTCATCGTCCCTGATGAGCGATATGACTGGCTCTGCGAAAAGTTCCAGCCCAAGTCAAGGGTCCCAGCCAACTTGACCGTCTATGACATTGCAGGCCTTACCCGTGGCGCATCCACCGGCGCTGGTCTAGGAAACGCTTTCTTGTCGCATATCCGTGCCGTCGATGCCATCTTCCAGGTGGTCCGCTGCTTCGACGATGCCGAAATCATCCACGTTGAGGGAGATGTCAACCCCACTCGTGACCTCGACATCATCGCTGAGGAACTTAGGCTCAAGGACATTGAGTTCGTTGAGAAGGCGCTTGAGATGCAGAAGAAGAAGACTCGTCAAGGCGGCCAGTCTCTTGAGCAGAAGAAGGCCAGGGAGGAGCAGGAGACGATAGAGAAGATCCTAGCCTGGTTGCAGGACGGCAAGGATGTGCGCAAGGGTAACTGGGGCCCCAAGGAGGTAAGACCAATCCCAGTATTTCTTCGTCCGATCCATTTTCACCCCATCACAGCCGGCTGCCTCCCAGCACACCTACATGATGACAAAGGGCCATAGTGCCCGATCTAATCCCAGCTCGTCGAATGCCTCAATAATTAACGCTAGAGCGCATACTGAGATAAAATTCTGTCTGATACACCACATTCACATGCATTGTTCTCCATCATTTACTCTTGGAGCCTGAAGCTGACGGTACCAATAGATTGAGGTCATTAACCCCCTCTTCCTCCTGAGCGCAAAGCCTGTCGTCTACTTGGTCAACCTTTCTGAGAAGGACTACATCCGGAAAAAGAACAAGCACCTTCCTAAGGTTGCGGAGTGGTGCAAGGAGCACGCTGCAGGCGACCCTATCATCCCAGTTTCCGTGTCTTTCGAGGAGCGTCTAACTCAATTCGAGACGGAGGCGGCGGCTCTGGAGGAGTGCAAGAATGTCGGTGCCGATTCTGCACTGCCCAAGATTATCATTGCCATGCGCAAGGCTCTGGACCTGGGCAGCTTCTTCACGGTCGGTACGGACGAAGTGCGACAGTGGACCCTCCGAAATGGTACCAAGGCACCTCAAGCAGCTGGTGTGATTCACACAGACTTCGAGAAGACCTTCATCCAGGCTCTTGTCTACCCTTTCACCGCCCTGAAGGAGCTGGGATCGGAGGCAGAATTGAAGTCGAGCGGCAAGATTGCTACGAAAGGCAAGGACTATGTTGTCCAAGATGGAGATGTTTTGCACATCAAAGCCGGCGCCGCCAAGAGCTGAGGTTGTTACTTGATTCCCCCTACACAAGTAGGATATGAGATACCCGCTCAATCTGGAAGCCATCCCTGTCTGGCTTGTCCGCCTCCCAGCCATACTATCTACTTGAGTAATCAACTGGTGACTGTACCTAGTATGATGAGCTCCTCATGCTTGCAATATAGGTATCAACCATCGCCTTTCAAACCTTGTTCCTATTTCGCATCGATTCAATCTTGGAATCGTTCCTTGGGTTGATATATGTGATTACGTCCTAGTCTCAGACCCGTTATTGATACTTTCATATGACTGCCGTGCAAGGCGGTATCCTATCTTCGGTATTAGAGTCGGAAGCGTTGCCAGTACACGCTCAAAATGTGCCCAGATATATGTGTAGAACAGCAGAGTTAACAGTTGAGTGCTCGCTCGAACTAGTAGCTTCAGAGCCTCCACTAGCACTCTTGAGACTAATCAGGAGGTTCGCGGTCGGTTATGTTTGTCATGACTGGACCACATACCTAGGTACTGCCGTCATCTCTACCGATTGGCGTGCGCCAGGAGCAGCTGGGCTACCTAGTTCATGAACCAAGTCCGTGAGCGCGACAATTATGCATCAATGATGAGCCATCTTCCTCGGACTTTTCCTTTCGTCACTCCTTGAAGAGGAATAGGTTGCAAGGCTATCTACCTAGGTAGGGAGCCCTGGAGGAAATGATTACATAGCCACACCTTCGCCGAAAGGTGCAGGCTGTGGTGCACAATTCTCGACGCCGTGACGACAACCCTAGGGTAGCTAGAATGATTGAAGTGCAGTCTACTGGTGCTGATTGAAGGAAGGCATGAACACTGAAGACTTGCTTGAGAAACTTGGTACCCTGAGCCAAGCCACAGGTTCCTTACGAGAGCATGTGGGCAGGTTGGAGTCGTGCGCATGGCACTGATGCTGCTATTTCTCGACAACTCTTTCCTTTGTTTCTGAAAGCGACATGTCACGCAAAAGTATGACAGGATGAACGTAACGAGTGCAATCTTCAAATAAATATATAGATCAAGTCCTTCTGTTGGCAATGCACACCACTACTCAAGTCCACATCGAGCTACAATTGATGCGATTGAGTCCCGCCAGATGCAAAGGCCAAGGTGGTTCAACCAATCAAGGTAAATTTTGCAGTTTGCCTCCTCGGTTTGGTATACGGACATGGGCATATATCAGTACAGATGTCTTGCAAAGACACTTAGAAATGCTCACTATGCCTTGGGTCCAAAAATAGCGAGAAGACATGGAGAGTTGACGAATGCCTGCAGGGCATCAACTCTCCTGCTGTCAGACCCAAGCTTCAGTATAACATCAATGATCTCATTTACACAAATACCTTGACCCAAAAGCTTTGATTCGACTCTCATCTGTTTCTTTCTCACTGTTGTCCTCCTTTTTCTTGACCCCCAGCATAGAAGCCGCAGTATTGCTCAGAGCATATTGGCCTCTCAACGGATGTTTGTTTAGATCACCTGCAGTGCTTGACTTTCGTTCTGGACTCACAGAGATATCACTGGTGTTGAGGACCCATGGATCCAATACCCCATCCTAGAGTTTCTCAAAAGGAGCAGATCAGGTTTTGCTGTTTGAGATTTCACAGAATGGGATCGTGCAGAATCAACATTCTCCAGGAAGTCAGAAAGCTAGAGGGTAGCAACCTTGGAAGGCCTTGTTGGACAATGACGAGCGCGATAGTGTTGTTTTCATCGCTATGCTCCAGAGCGTTCATCTGGCTGCTCATTGGGAAGAAAATCACCTACCACTTCAAGTCAACGTTTTGCAAGATGAGATGAATGGTATGAGCTTGTGATTTTGTATTCTTACTTTATAAATAGCCAAACGAAAAGAGGTTGAGCACAGAAGGTCGCATATTCAAAACACTTGAAGTTTTCAGGATATTGTACATGAAGGTAACATTGTGTACAAACATTGGAAAGTCCCGTGAGGGTACCTTCTCAGCGCTTCAGTTAGAGACCATCTATCTCAGCCGTTGAACCCCAGGTCACCCTTGAAGAAAAGGCGGCGCCCTTCCATCAGTCGACATGCCGACACGCCCATCAGCGGCGGTGTCTCCGCCTCTCCTTCCTCTCCATGTGCTTAATGATCTCTTCCGACAGAGGGTACTTCAGCTGATTTATGATTGCTCCGTAAAACCTGAACTCCCTGCCCTTATGCTCGGTGCTCCGGTACTTCTGGGCGGCCTCCCTCATCAAAACGTCCTCTGTGTCGCCGTACACGGCGGCGTACCGCTTTGCTGTCTCGACGACGTGGACGGCCTGGAGGGAAACATCGCCGCCGTCAATGTCGAAGTCTGTTTTCGGACGGGCTTGTTAGTTCACGTACTGCTTCGTTGAAGATCGAGGGAATAGGGCTCGCTTACCGCGAAGGAAGTCGAAGTAAGACCGATAGCTCTCTTGTGGTTGTGATTGTTTGTATGAGGGCATATTGGGGTCGGAGCGGTCTTTGTTGTGGTATTTGCTGACTGCGTCACAATGGCATCAAACGGCTTGTCTTTGGGTCAACTTGTCGTTGATTCGAATCGCCGGCTTGGAGAACAGACATGAGAAGATGCGGGAAAACTGCTGAAAAGGTAGATATTCAATTAAGATTTTATATACTAGCCGTAGTGCTCATTTCACACGCTGTTATGGGGAAAGTGGAAACCGCAGGTGAGTCGACCTGAATGGGATTCTGCAGCATCTCTGCATCACATTTCTGTGCACTTCACTTTGAGGTAATGACGTTGGGCAACATCAGTCCAGCCTCTGATAATACCAAACAGAACAGGTGTAGCCGAAGGCGGTAACAACGGCGGTAACAACGGCGGTGTGGGCTGCTTCAGCGGCCGTAAGACCATGGCTCAAATTTGTCTCGCTCCAGCCCGCTGTGGTGCACCCAGGCCAGAACAACGTTGTAACAGGTAGAAGCTTCCGGTCCACAGAGTGCATACATACTCGCCATTGTCACACAATCCCGCTGTCTTGTACGCTCAGCCGGTGACGAAGCCAATGTTCCAACAGCTCAAATGTGTTTGCTGCCCAAAAAGCTGTGTATCGATGCCTCCAGAACAATCAGGCCACACATCGCCTTGATCAAAATTCTACTATTCTGCCCAAAGCTCACCGCTGTCTCACAAGCAGCCAGGGCTGCCACTTGGACAGCTCTAGAATGTGTTCTTTCCAAGAGGCAACCGGGTCCAGAGCCATTTTCGTGGCTCCCATGTTCGAGACTTCGCCATTCTTGATACCATACAAGTAGGGCTTCTCGGTGGCGTAACACGCCGTCTCTGGTTCATCAGGGAGCGTTCCGTTCAATATGAAAGCCTTCGCCAGACTTTCCGTGCAGTTAGACAAGTCTCGAGAAGAGTGACCATATCCGTGATGAGCTATAAGTCTGGCATTCTTGCCCATCTCAGCTGCTAGTCGCCTCCCGTTCCTTAACGGGGTTGCAGGGTCGTAGGTCTCTGCGATCAGCAAAACAGGGTTCTTCAACGTGTGGTTCAGTGGACCCCTGTATGCTTCAGCTACGTCTGGCCAGTATGTGCTAAAGTGGCGGCATGGGAAGACGTTCGAGAACCGAGAATTGCCCGAGATGAAGCTCTTGGAGGTCATATTTGCCCACAGTGAAGACCACCTGGGTTATGTCAGAATGTGGCACAAGATCTTTCCATGCCCAGGTGAATAGTGGCGACATGTATAGCCACAGAGAAACTTAATCTCTGCCCGTTTTCATGTTTGATTTGGAGGTACTGACCAGTCAAGTCCCTGTGATGGCGCGTCATATGCATCACCACATATAACCATGTAGGTGAGCTCGTCTGTCGAAGGCCGAGGGGAAGGTAGTGGGGGCGACATCGGCTCATATTCCCAGGCTGATGATTCAAGGAAGGCGGCAGCTAGCGTTGAGTTGCCGGCCTCCAGCTCATATATCATTTCAGCTAGAGCCGGCCAACTCTTTGCATTGTATAATGATCCGTAGATGGCGCCGACGAGAGCAGAATAAGTTACCAGGGAAGGGCCACTTTCCTCAGTGTAGCCTGGAATCGGATCACTGATGAGACCAGCGATCAGTGCCTTTATGCGATGTTCCAAATCTTTGAGCACGACTGCTCGTCCACCATGTGGCCTTGCCAACGCGCAGTGCTCTGGTCCGGCATTCAGGCACTCGCCTAAGAAGCCATCGCGAAAGGCATCTGTTACGTTATCGAGGGCGGTCCACCCCTGAGAAGTAAATGGTTAGCGTACTGGGTGACAGTGTGATAGTGTGAAGTAAATATGAGCGACAGCCAGATCCACCTACAAAGCCACCAAGCAGTCGATGATCACGGACATATTCCGTTCCATCCAAAATGATACGGCCAACGCTGTCTGGAAACATCTGTGCATAAGTCTGGCCAATTCCTGTGCCGTACGATACAAGATAGCCGGTCAGGTCGTCCTCCCCCAGGCCTTTTCTGATCTCCTCTAGATCCCTGGCAACCAATGTCGTTGTCAAGAAGCGTCCGAGATCACCGTGCCTCTTCCAGCAAGCATGAAAAGTAGCATTGTTCATGGCGTCCGTTATCCTCAGCTGTGTTTCGGGGTCCGAGTGTTGTTCGCGGTACTGGCCTGTCAGGGCTGACCACCTATCTCTGTCGGCATCGTAGGGATAACAGGATATCGCCGGCTGGCTCGCGTTGACTCCTCTTGGATCCCACCCTAGGGTATCGAATTTGGAGAGGGTGAAGCGCTCGGTCAGCAGCTCCCCTGAAGTCCAGACCATGCGAGTTCCACTTCCGCCCGGCCCTCCAGGTTCGAGAACAAGCGTCCTCTCGCTCTTGGTGCCTGCCCCAGCAGGGGAAGAGCCATCTGTGCGGGCAAGCCCTGAGACCTGGAACTTGGTCACCGCCAGACGAGCGATGCGGGTATCAGACTCGTTCTTATAGTCCAATGGCACGTCAATGTAGCCACATAGGAATATACCTCGCTCGGCAAAGGGGTCCTCAGAGCTGGCCGACGTTTTGTTCCCCCAGGTCCAATGGTCCGGCTCTGGATCAAATAGCTTGGCCCAACTCGCTTCATGATTCTTGTCGTCCAGCGCCGGTGGGAATGTCTTGTTTGTGCATGGAAGGAACCTAAATGCGTCTCTTGGCTGGGGGAAGCTACCATAGGGAGAGTCAAGATTGCGATGGGGATGTGAGCAGTGGCGACGAAACTGCGGCCAGCCCCTCGCCGCCAGGTGGTACAAGCCCGCCAGACCGACCAGGCCTAAGAGGAGCACAAATTGGGTGCGGCGCCTCGTTCGTGCCTGTGGAATTGTGCTGGGTTTCGAGGACTTCTCCATCGTCCCCAACATTTGAACCCGCTTGTCATAGGAAATTGCCCAGGTGGTCATTTTAGGAGCGCCCTCGATGCACTAAAGAGAGAAGAGAGGAACATTGGAGCTGGGTTGAAGTTGCTCACCTTATACCTTTGATGATTACGCGGTGCCGGGGTGATTTCGCGCCGGGGCTAGCCACGGGAATGAAGTCCTAAGCCTGAGGAAGTAGGTATTTAAGAGTTAGTGTACATAATCAGCCCTAGGTGAGTGCCTAAGTGGGTACCTACTACCTAGGTAAGTAGGTAGCTACAATATAGGGACGCTTGACCGTTTCCAGGTAGGGCCGCGCTCACGCCAGCCCAGCTGACAGGACATCTGGAGAGCATCTTCTGCGTTTACGGTAGCTGCAGCAAACGACCAGAAGGCGTCTGGAACCAAAGATGATCATGCACTTCACAGTGAAACAATTGGCCACGTTGACAAAAATATACAGCTCGTTTGTAATGGCGGAATATATACAGGAATGCTTGAATAGCCCACATGCAGTCTGCCCCTAAAGACCCACAATTTAGGCCGGATTACATGAGCTCGATCTCGTACGAGGCGTACATGAACGGCCCAACCCCCTTGTAGTCATTGGGAGACAGCGCAACAGACGTGTAGTACTCGAAGGTAGCGTTGCTGTTGAGAGAGCCAACAAGAACGGTGCCCTCCCAGTCAAGAGTGCCGTCGCTCTTCTCGACAACGAAGTCGTCGACCAGAGCCTGGTAGGCCTTCTTGGCAGGCCCCAGGTAAGTCTGAGCGTCGATGAGTCCAAGCCTGACGCCCTTGAGGAGACTGTAGGTAAACATGGCGCTGGCGGACGACTCGATGTAGTTCTTCTTGCGGCCGGGGAAGTCCATGATCAGCCACCAGCCGCTGGTGGCAGCATCCTGGGCCTTCAACACACCCTCAGCCAGGGATTGAAAGTAGCCTGTCAGCTTTTTCTTGCCCTCGTGGGACTCGGGGATCAGCGGGATGGTCTCGAGCAGGGACACCATGTACCATCCGACGGCACGGCTCCACACCAAGGGGGCGGCACCCGTCTTTGGATCGGCCCAGATGGCCTTTTTCGACTCGTCGTACCCGTGGACAAGTAGGTTGGTTGTGTGGTTGCGGGTGTACTTCTCGATGTTGTCGAACTGCCGGGTGATGTCGTCCCAGGCTGTGGTGTTATCGTTGTCGTACAGGCTTGTGTACTTGGCGTAGAAAGAATCGGCCATGAATATTCCGTCGAGCCACATCTGGTTCTCGTAGATCGGGGCTCTGTGCCAGAATCCACCGGATGGCGTGCGCGGGTGCCTGTCAAGCATGCCACGGATACCGTCGGCGGCGAGCTTGTACTTTTCCTCACCAGTCCTGTTGTACCACCAGAGAGCATTCATTCCAAAGCGATACTCATCCAGCGAGTAGACTTGATTGATGTTAGCAAGTTCAGCCAAGTTGTGCAATGCCAAGGTCGAGCCGGAAAAGCCGGGCTTAGCAGTAGTGAATCGAAGCCCAAACACTTACAGTCGTACTCGTACTCCTTGATCGTGCCGTCCTCGTTGACGATGGACATCTGCTTTTCGTATGCATCTGCGATAGACTCATTCTTGGTGAGGTCGTAGGCAAACTCGAGTCCTTGGTAAATGACGGCGTCTGATTTGTTGTCAGTACTTCTGGCTCGACAAACTATATCGTGTGTATTTGTAGGAAGTCTTGGTGCAAGTACTGACTTGTGTAACCAAAGTCCAACTTGATACCCTTACGGATATGGGTATCGGCCATACGGGCGAGATAGGACCCAGTAGACGTGTTAATCGCGCGGCTGACGAGCTTCAAATCGGCGGTAGCGACGGCAGCGGCGGCAGCGCCGGACGCCAACAATACGGAAGACCTCATGATGGGCAATGGAGAAGGCGAGGTTGTTTGGTAGCGAATGAGAAGATCGGATGGGCTGCCGGTCGACAGCCTTTCATATTGCCTGTGGTCGCGCAGCCAGGCTCGGTCTCTTATACAGTTCGCCGGCGGGAGGCTCCAGGCACCCGGTTGCAGGGCTCATGCAACCATGTGGAATCACCGTCCTTGGCGACGCATGAAGGTGGACTTGCTCGACATAGGGGTGCCCGGCCCTTCGGTTGTTTGTTCTCCCTCATGATTCGCCTCCCCGGATGAGTCCCCCCCACCGAGGACCGGCACCTGCAGATTGTTTTGTTTCCATCAATGGAGGGCCCTGTTGGAATTCTTCCAGCGGTGCAATGCAGATCTTGGCTCTCCACCATCTTGGCTTGGCGACGGACAAACATGCTGCTGCAGCTGGGTCCCGCGCCCCTTAGAGTGCCAGTTTCATTAAAACAGAGGGTCCAGGGGCATGCCGTTGTTTGTATCCACGAGACAATGAATCGACATGATAGCTTCCTTGAGCGCCGGCGACGGTCCCTTGTTGAGCACGACCTCGGGAGCAGTGTGCCTGCGGTTGCATCGGGGGCGTCGTCGCTTCGGTTTGTCCCGGCGAGCCTCATCTAGTATGCACTTGAGGCACAAGTCGACGACTGGCGCATGTGGCTTAGGCTGTCTACAATCCGTAATCGCGAAAGGCTTGGCCCGGTCCGGAAATTACTTTTCAACGACATCTCCCATTGGACATAGATTTCCGTGATCATGTTCACTTAGCTACCTCACCTCCTTTCTAAGGTCTTGGCTGATTTCCTATAGGAGTGTTCCGGGCCAAAGCCCAAGACCCAAGCAATGCTTGGAGGCGGCAAGCTGTGGTCCGTACACACTGGCAGGTTAGGCTCGGTGGATATCAGACCGCGACGGCGAACACACTTCTTGGCTGGAATATGTTCGGGCAGACAACGTATCATCACGCACACGCACACGCCCCGAAACATGCAGGAGGGAGAATACCTAGGTATGTGGTCTGGGTACCCACAGACTGAAAAGTCACTGGCCGAAATCTGGATTCTATCCTGCCAAGAACAGACTGGTACCAACCTTTTTGTCTAACTTTAGAACCTCTGCGTGAATCGCACGTGGGGTACATCCTACCCAAATAGGTATGGAATCTCTCTTGTGTTCCAAGTTAGATACCTTTCAACAGAATAAGCTTCTGTAGGATGGCATTCTGTTGGACGAGATCCGAGCGCCTGGTGACTTCAAATGCTCCTACCCACCGATGTCAACTTGCTTGGAGATCTAGGTTCATTGAGACATGCCCTACTTTTTTGGCTTTCGGGGCAGGGAGTGCTCCGAAATCCCGGTTAGCAAGAACTGCAGACTGGATAATGTGAGACAGCGGAACGCGAAGTGACTACCAACGCCACGGTCGACCCGCCTGCATGGCGGGCCGCTCAGTGGTGCTTTCTACACCCGGTGCGTCAGGGGCGGCCGACTATTGGGACGGCAGAGGGAGTCAACGGGTCAGGTGGGCTGCATCGCCTAGCAGTGAATATCATAAGACTATAAGTTTCTGACCAGTCGTGAGCAGGCTGAACCCGCCGAGGATGTATGAACGATGAGGCGCGGCCCATTCTATCGGAGTCGCGAGACGAAGACACGCGAGGCGCCGTGTACTCACCACCCGAAGGATCGTCACCTGCCGGTGAGGCCGTCAACATATCTGACAAGTGTCATTCATGATTATCTCAGCCTCCAGCTTCAACGGTCTAGGAGGAGGACGGCTGGAAAGGGACTGCGGCGTGGGGACTGGGCCGCGCAGCCCAGAGCCTCATCTCAGCCTCGGGCGAGGATGGGGGCGGGCGGCTGTGAGGCGCACAGAGACGGCGAGTGACCTATGAAAGGCCCTGAAACGGTGGCTAACAGCATATTCTCGTGGACCCTTTCGCGAGGCAGGCACGGCAGCTGCCAGTGTGAAGGATCGTCCATCGGGTAAGACCGACCAACGCCATGGCGGAGTCGATCATTCGTCGCACAGGGACCAACTGACTGTTCCTTCCATTTTCTGTCTCTGACCACCTCGGATATCCAGCCAGCGTCATACAATTCGGTCAAGGTGTGAACCCGCGCGGCTACTTCTGCAGCAACATTAGCGAAGCATAAAAAGGTCAGTTGGATCCACAGCAACGCCGCGCGCACTTGGAGATGGCATCACCAACGAGCACCGGAAATTCACGGCCTATAAAATCACATTAAGAGAATCTACTGTTGATTTCCCCCTACTGTTTTTTCTCTCTACCCAAGTACCTTGACAAATGTCTTCGCAAACTTCAGACACAGAAGTACCCCCGAAGCCGGTTGAGACGTCTCCCCTGCTCTCCTCTGCCAATCAACCAGGAGGCACAGAGACGCGCGACCAACAGCCGCCACAGCAGCCGCCGCCCGTCAATACAAACGTGAAGCCCGCCATGGACCACAGCACTCAGACGCCCGTCCAGCGCCTTCCAAAGGTCGACACCGACATGGCGTGGGCAACGCCGGCGGGGCTGCGCATGAGGGACAACAACGACGAGAGCCAGGTGCTCACGATCTTCCGGCGCGCGGTGGGCATCAACAGCGACAAGGCCGGCACCTTCACGGACAGCGAGACGCTCGAGAAGGGGCGGAGGCGTGCCGTCGGCGTGTACAAGAGCGTCATCGAGCAGCAGCGGCGCAAGAGACTGGTACACCACACGCTCGGGATCGTGCTCTACATCTCGCACTTCCTGCAGATCGTCCTCGCCGCCGTGCTGACGGCGCTGGGACCCAACGCCAAGAACTACGAGGTGCCCATTACCATACTTGGTGCCGTCAATACCGTCGTCGCTGGCGTCCTAGCGCTTCTCAAGGGCTCGGGTGTCATTGAACGTGTTTCCAAGGACGAGGTTGATTTCAAGAAGTTGCAAGACTGGATAGAAGAGACGGAGGCCATGATCTCAGTCGGAATACTGGGGCGGAGCCGGAAGGACGTGGGGATCCTGGTCGAGCAAGCGTTCCGCAAGTACAACGCGTGCTTTGGGCAGGCTTACGAGATCATGTCGTCCTCCAACATCCAGGGGATGGGCGACTCCAGGGATAGGGACGATGACAGGTAAAAGCAGGAAAGAAAGAAGAAAGTCCGGGAGGGGGGCGCCTTGCCCGAGCTTACCACATGTGGTTGATCATTTCCCCATTTTCCATTCTTACGGAGTGGCTTATTAGTCCTGGGTGGGCAGTGTAGTTGTCTACAGCCTCACAAGCACTCCCCAATGTCTGCCCATTTAGGAATAGTGTGAGGGAGATAATATGGCGCAGAATTTTGTATTTATATAGAATTGAATCTCACATAATATTACAAGCAAATAGCGGGGAAGATCAGATCTGCGGACCGGAGCGAACATAAGACGAACATGTACGCTGGACCAAACGCTATTTTGCGACAAAACCCCAAATCCACATTTCGTGCACACTTTTCAATACCTACACTTACCCCTATAGGGTACTTTTTACACCCCCCCTTCAACTTAACTTCTTTTTATACCCTCTCTTTAACTTAACTTCTTTTTATACCTTTTTTTAACTTAACTTTTTTAATTATTATATATTAATTTAAAATATTATAAATTATAAATAATTTAATTTAATATTATTTATAATTTTATAATTTAAATATAATTTATATATATATAATTATAATTATATATATATTAAATAAATAAATAAATAAATAAATAAATAAATAAATAAATAAATAAATAAATAAATAAATAAATAAATAAATAAATAAATAAATAAATAAATAAATAAATAAATAAATAAATAAATAAATATAAAAATATAAATTTATTAATTAATTTTATAAGTATTTAATTTATAATTTTAATATATTTTAAAATATAAATTATTAATTTATTTTTATTTTATTTTTAAATTAAAAATAAATAATTAATTAATTTTAAAAATAATATATTTTTAAAATTAATATAATTAAAGTTATTATATAAAACCTTTTAATATAATTTTATAATTATTTATAATATTATTAATTATTAAAAATATTTTTAATATTAATAAATTTAAATTATTAATAATTATAAATTATAAATTATAAATTATATAATTTAATATAAATATATATTCCTTTTAAATATAAAGCTAAAAATTTATAATTATAATTTTCTAATTAACTTTTATTAAATTATTTTATTATATTATAATTTAATTTAATTTTAACTTTATTTAAGTTTTTCTTTAAGTCTATTTAATATTTTTTAAATAAGTTAAATTTAAATTAAAACTTTTAAATTTAAATTTAAAATTTATAAATTTTAATATATTTTAAATTAAATTTATAATCTTTTAGTTTTTTAGAAATATATTAATTATTTTAAATAATAATAATTTTTTTAAAGTAAAAGTTTACTTTTATATAATTATAAATTTAATTATTAATAGTTCTTTCTTTTTTATTTATAAGTTATTAAAATTATAAACTTAAATATTATATATAATAATAGAGTATAGTTACCTTACTTAAAGGTTATCTTTTAATTTAATAATATAGTAGGTTAAGTAATTACTTTTAAGTAGTTTTATTTATAAAGTTAATAAATAAATATTTATTTAAATAAAGTTAGAACTTTTAAGGAAATAATAGCTTTTATTTTTATTTATTTTAATTAATTTATATTTACTTAAATTATATAATAATTTTATATATAATATTTAATAATATTAAAATTAATTTATAATTTATAATAATTTTAATCTTTAATAAATTAATAATATTAATTTAAATTAATATAATTTAATATATTAATATAAAAGATATTTTTAATAATAAATAGTATTATAAATATAAATTATAAAATTATTATAAAATGTTTTATATAATAAATTTAATTAAATTAATTTTTAAAATATATTATATTTTATTTTAAAACTTTAATTATTTATTTTAATTTAATAATAAAATTAAAAATATAAATAGTTTATATAAATATATATTATTATATAAAATATTAAATATAATATGTAATTTAAATTTTAATATAAATTAATAATAATATATAAATATATATATATTATTATTAATATATATATATATATATATATATATAAATTATAATTTTATTTAAATAAATATTTATTTAATAAATTTAAAATATTATATAAATATAATTATTTAATTTATTATATTTATATTAAATTAAAATATAATATTTATTAATTTATTTAATTTATATTTAAAAATAATAATTTAATATATATTAATATTAATTAAAAATATATTTAATTAAATAATAAAGTATTTAATTAAATTAATTAAATTTTATTTAAATTATTTATAGTTTTTAATTTTATTATTAAATAAAAATAAAATATTAAAGTTTTAAAAATATAAAATATAATATATTTTAAAAATTAATTTAATTAAATTTTTATATAAATCTTTTATAATAATTTTATAATTTATTTTATAATTTATTTTATAATTTATTTTATAATATTATTTATTATTAAAATATAATTTTATATTAATATATTAAATTATATTTATTTAATTTAAAATTAATAATATTAATTTTAATATAAATTTATTTTATTAAAATAAAACTTATTATATATTATAAAAATTTAGAATTTTAATTATTTATTTTAATTTAATAATAAAATTAAAAATATAAATAATTTATATATTATAAAATATTTAATTTAATATTAATAAATATTATATATAAATATTATATTTATTATATAATTTAAATTAATTAATTAAAATAAATAAAAATAAAATTAATTTTTTAAAATTTTAATTTTATTTAAATAAATATTTATTTATTAAATTTATTATATTATAAATAAAGTTATTTAAAATAATTATTTAATTTATTATATAATTTATTAAATTAAAAAACTAAATAAAATAATTATATTTTATTATTTAAATTTATAATTTTAATTATTATATTATAAATTAAAAATATTTATTAATAATTAAACTTATAATTATATAAAATAAAATTTTATTTTTAAAAGTTATTAATATTTAAAATATATTAAAAGTTATAAAAGTTTTAAATTTAAATTTAAATATTTTAATTTAAAATTTATAAATTATTTATATTTTTTAATTTTATTATTAAATTAAAAATAAATAATAAAATTTTTAAAAATAAAATATAATATATTTTTAAATATTAATTTAATTTAAAATTTATATTTATTAAAGAAATATTTATAAAATATAAAGAAATTTAAATAAAATTAAATTAAATTATAATTTATAAAAATAATTAATTAAAAATAAATTTAAAAATATAATTATAAATTTTTAATTTTATATAAAAGAATTTAATTTATATATATTTATATATAAATTATTTATTATTTATAATAATTTTATAATAATTAATTTATTATAATTTATTATTTTATATTAATATTTTTAATTTTTAAATATTTATTTTAATTAATTAAAAGTTTATTTATTAATAAAATAATTTTTAATTAAATTATTAAATTATTTAAAATTATTATTAAATATATTATTATAATTTATATAATTTAAATAATTTAAAATATTTTAAATTAATATTTTATAAATTATTTAAATTATTTAAATTTAAAATATTTTAAAAATAAAATAAAATTAATTAATTAATTATTAAATTATTATTTAATAATATTAATTATTAATTTTTAATTAAATTTTAATTTTAATAATTTTTTTAAATTATTTTATTATTAATTAATTTTAAATAATTCTTTTAATTAAAATAATATTTATTATAATTAAAATTATTATATAAATAATAATTATAAATTTAATTAAAATTTATATTTATTATTTTTATTTAATAATTTATTTAATATTTTAATATTTTATTTTTATATTATATAATTATTTATTAAATAAATAATATTTATTTATATTTTAAAGATTTTTATATAATATTTAAATATAAATATTTTAATATTATAATTATTATTATTTTAAATTTTATAATATAATTATTTATAATATTTTATTATAAAGAAATTAAATTAAAATAAATTTAAAATATATTAATAATATTTATAAAATATATATAATAATTTAAATTTAAAATATTAATAAAATTTAAATAATTAAAGTTTTTATTTTTATTATTTTTATAAATAAAGTTATATTTAACATTAATATAATTATAATTAATTATATTAATAATAATTTTAAAATATATTTAATATATTAATTTATTTTATTAAATAAATAAATTTTTATATTTATAATTATATAAATAATTATTTATATAATTATTTATATTTATATAAACTTTATATTTTAATAATTATTAAATAATTTAATAATTTAATTAAATATAAATAAAAATATTTTAATTAAATATAATAAAAGAATTTTAATTAAATATAAATAAAAATTTTAATTAATTAATAATTTATTATAATTAATAAATAATTAAAATATAAATTAAAAATTAATTAATAATTAAATAATTAATTAATTAATAATTAATAATTAATAATTAATAATTAAATAATTAAATAATTAAATAATTAAATAATTAAATAATTAAATAATTAAATAATTAAATAATTAAATAATTAAATAATTAAATAATTAAATAATTAAATAATTAAATAATTAAATAATTAAATAATTAAATAATTAAATAATTAAATAATTAAATAATTAAATAATTAAATAATTAAAAATTTATAAATATTTAATTTAAAATACTTTTAATTAATAATTATTTAATAATAATTTAAATTTAAATTTATTTATTAATATAATTTATAAAATATAAATTTAAAATATTTTATTATATTTAAATTAAATAAATTATAATTATTTATTTTATTAATTAATTTTTATAAATATAAAATTAATTAAATTAATATATATTTAAATTTTATTAAAAGATTTATTTAATTAAATTATAAAATATTTTAATTAAATATATATATATATATATAAATTATTTATTAATTATTTAATTTATTTATAATAAATAATTTATTATAGTTTATTATTTTAATATATTTAATAATAATCTTTAATAATTTAATAATTTAATTATAAATTTTTTAATAAATAAAGCTTTTAATTAATTAAAAATAATTTTAAAAGTTAAAAATATTAATATATAAATAATAAATTATAATAAATAATAATAAATTATAATAAATAATAATAAATAATAATAAATTATTATAAATTATAATAAATTATAAATTATAATAAATAATAAATTATAATAAATAATAATTTTATAATTTTATAATTTTATATTTTTATAATTTTATAATTTTATAATTTTATAATTTTATAATTTTATAATTTTATAATTTTATAATTTTATAATTTTATAATTTTATAATTTTATAATTTTATAATTTTATAATTTTATAATTTTATAATTTTATAATTTTATAATTTTATAATTTTATAATTTTATAATTTTATAATTTTATAATTTTATAATTTTATAATTTTATAATTTTATAATTTTATAATTTTATAATTTTATTATTTTATTATTTTATTATTTTATTATTTTATTATTTTATTATTTTATTATTTTATTATTTTATTATTTTATTATTTTATTATTTTATTATTTTATTATTTTATTATTTTATTATTTTATTATTTTATTAATATTTATTTATTAAATAATTATATATATTTATTTAATATAAAGGTTTATATATAAAGTTTATATAAAATTATATATTTAATTAAAATTTTTAAATTTTTAATATTTTTAATATAAATTTTTATATTTTTAATATATTTTTAATATATTTTTACTATATTTTTATATTTTCTTAATATATTTTAATATATTTTAATATATTTTTAATATATTATTTAATATACTTTTAATATATTTTTAATATTTTTAAGAAAACTTTAAATATAAATTTTTATTTAAATATTATTTAAATATTAATTAAATATTTAAATATTAATTAAATATTAAAAGTTAAAATTAAAAATATAAAATAAAATTATATATTTTTAACTTTTAATATTTTTTAAACTTTTAATATTTTAAACTTTTAATTTTTATTATTTAATTAATATTTAAATATATATAAGTTAAAAATTTAAAAAGTATATTAAAAAAGTATTAAAAATATTAAAAAAGTATTAAAAAATATTAAAAAATATAAAAAAGTTTATATTAAAATAATAAAATTAAAAGAAATTATATTATAAAGTTTTTTAATATTAATTTAAGAAATATTTATAAATATAAAAGAGTTATTTAAAAAAATTAATATTAAATAAATAATTAATAAAAATTAAATAAATAAATATATTTATTAAATAAATAAATATTAATTTTATTATTATTTTATTATTATTATTTTATTATTATTATTTTATTATTTTTAAAAATAATAAAAAACTAATAGAATTTTTTAAATATTTTTTTATTATTATTTACTTATTTTTAAAAGTTTAATTCTTTTTTTAGGGTTAGGGTTATATAAAGTAGTGGGGTGGGTGTATTAAGGAAAGTATGTATGAAATGTGGATTTAGGGTTTTGTCGCAAAAAAGCGTTTAGTCCATTTTAAACATGGGGTAAGCGGCGTTGTGCCTTGCATGAGACCACAATTTACCCAGACTACCGCCCCAGGCCGCCTCACCCGTTACCGAAGTCAAAGTCCGAGCTAAATGCCGGATATCTTTTTCTGCATCCACGAAGAATTGATCGCTTGCGCATCGCACGCATTTTCCCTTGAAAATGAGGAAGAAAGCGGGAAGTGTTCGTTTCCCACCATCAAATGACCCGACCGCTGCATTGTCGCCAAACCCATACGCTCAGACCTGACGCCCTCCGTGTGCGACATCATTGCGGTCAGGATTCTTCTCTGGTACAGCGTGGTTTTGCTGTCCCCTTAAATGGGAGAAGAGGAATTCTTCCACATCCGGTGACAATGCGTCGGGCGAGGACTCGGCCGTGTCGCTGCTCTGGCTGTCTGAACGGTGGCGGAGCGAGGAGGTCACCTTGGACACGCACCGTAACAGGACCCTGGATGCTGATCTTCGCCTACCGCTCGGACTACATTCGACGTTTGGTGCTGCAGAAGCTTCCTCCGAGTCACCATTGTGGGCCGATCGTGTAGGCACCAGGGGCTCTGTCTTGACCCCAATGCCTGATGCAGGTGGCTTCTGAGGCGGCTCGCAGACCCTTGTGAGGTTGCCATATCGGCTTCCAGGTTGCCCCTCCCAGATGCTGCCGTCTTCGCTGCTGAAGGTGAAAACCTCTGTATCAGCATCGTAGCCGATACGGGTCATGCCCTGGGGGAGGTTGTCCTCGTCGTTGCCGTACTCTGCAAATCGAGACCGCATTATGAATGACCTGGGCTTGGCCGCACTTGAATTTGGGATGGCGAATGCGATGTTGAAGGCTATTGTGTTTTGAGTCGGGTGTATGCAAGTACTCATATTCGTGCACTGGCTGTCCGATCGTATCGTGACTAGGACCGACGTGAGTTTAAAGCCAATCGAACGCCCCCAAGGCGCAAAACCCTTTGCGTCCAAAAAGCCTCGGTGGCACGTTCCAGCATCGCACCGCATCTTCGGTGTAACCGCCCCCAAGGCTCGGCCTCCATCACAACCTGGCCAGTATGAGGACGACGACGACGCCGATTCCAGGCCATTACGGCGTTACCTACGATATTTGCAGCATTGGACCCCACCAGCGGCACGGAGTACATGCCAGAATGTGTGCTGATGCGTGGGGAAATCGTGGGGGAGGCCCGTGCGCCCGAACTGCCGCATTCGGACAACCAGGGGCAGCTCATTGGATGACGGCCCCCAAGGAGGAATGCCCGGGTCTACAGGTCTATGGGGGCAGTGCTTCGAGGATGTGCGTCTGCCTTGAGGAGTACCGCCTTCTCGCTGAGGCTCTAGGCACGGTGGCTGTGGTTATCACGAGGCCATACTCGCCACAGCAGGCTCGCCTGCCTTACCTTGGGGGCCCTGGGGCTGCAGCAAGGCTGGATGCTCAGTGACTGTGTGGTTTCCTCAGGTGCAGCCCGACACCCAGAATAGAAACAGGCTTCCACCAAGACAACACCAGTCGTGCTCACGCAGTCATCAGCAAGTATAGGGATTTAGGCGGCACCCCACTGTGGTCCCTAGGTCCCTAGGTATGCTGACTGTCTGGCGGCAAAAGACGGCTCGCATGTACGGCCTGTTGATCGGCATTTACGCTTGCAAATGACCAACTTCTTCTGACCCCGACATCCTGAGTCCTCGAGACTTGTAGTGGCTGTTCCGCGTATAAACTTGCTGAAATGGTGAAGTGTGGATGTGAGACAGCCACCTGGACACTTCGTCCCAACAAGGGCTCAATCTATCTGCATTTCATACACGAGTCTAAAGAACATTGTCCTTTCGAGAAGTCCACTGTAATGGGTCAAAATGCTTGTGTCCACGGCTAACTTCTTGCTTCTCACATATGTGGCTAGCACCTAGGAAATCGAGACCTCGAGAAATCGGGGGCACATAGTCTGGTAGGCAGCCGTGAATGATCGAGCCTCGGGTCCTCTGGAATTCGACTCAACGAGTCTAGGGTGTGTGAGGTGGAGGGGCGCGTTAGTTCTAAAGGTCATCACACCCTTAAGTATATGGGACAACGCATGGCCCTGTGTGGCGTTGAAAGACCACGTCCGCATTCGAGCTCTGTGGAGGCGTTATTTCGATGGAACATTACTTTCCTCCCATGTGACGAGCCGCTTGCATCTGGAATTCAAATATGGAACGCAAAATGGAGAAGACGTGCCAGAGTTGCTGATGCCTCCGTGGAATCAAGGTGCTGTCAACTCGAAGTGGCCTACCTCGGACACTGCCATGGGCATATAGGATGTGCATGAGATCCAGTAGTTAAATCATCGCATTATGTGAATGCCAGTGTGATGAGGAAAGAAGGAAAAAGGCTCTGCTCGGGTGTCCACTACGCGACGACGGTATCCGTCCCCGAACCTCGTAGCACAACTTGTGTAGGTTAAGGGCCTGGTGGAAATGCCCTACCGACAAAGGCCAGCCTTCTATTGTATGGCTTTAAGGGATATGCCCACGAGGGTCCAAAGTTTCAGGTTTGATCGACCTCTGGTCTCCTCTGTACCGTTTCTCGCAACAGAATGCGCAAGTGCCGGTGTTGCTGTATCGAATACAGATACCCCGAAGGAACATCCTGAGGCGATGGTCGAGATGATGGTCGTGACGCTCTCGAGCTCCGAGAACAAATGCGAGGGAACCCCACCCGGCCTTTGGGATGGTAGGATGTTGTGAAATGAGCGACGATATCAGCATTGTCACCGCGGATGACCAAGATGACTGACCATTGAAGTTGTGGAACGCCCATGACTTCGAACCATGATCGTGCTGGCTAGCGGCTAAGCGTTCGTAAGATGGTGGGTCCCAGTGGCTTCACGGTCGTTAGGTTCATGAGACGAGTTACCAGGGACCGCAGGATCGCCGGTTGGGCACGCAATTGTAAGCCGACGACAAAAAACAAACAAGTTCGTCTCCGAGCTTCGGCGGCTTGTTGAGACGGTGCTTGGGTATCTCTCGTGCGGGCTGCACAGGGCTGACTTTTAGTGCATGTAGGCTGACCCGAGAGCGGGCAATCATCCCACATTCACGCGGGCGACTCTTGTCAGACTGCAGAAGTCCTTGGTACACTAGTACAGGTCTCGGCTTTCAATGCAGCGGGTCGGGCCAGTCAGTCAGTCAAGGGCAGGACGGCAGGACGGCAGGACGGCAGGATGGTATCTAGAATGGCAGGCAGTCTGGCAGTCTGGCAATCTGGGTGAATCTCGGTGCGAATGGTAGCGTTGCAACCGCCCTCGCGGGATGCTGTCATTAGGATAATCCCTGCCTGCTGGGATCTAACCCAGAGACCCACAAGCTCCGCCCGTCCGATCCAATTGCATGCCGCTGTGGTGTTGCACGCAGTGGGGTTTCTCGCCGACGGCACGAGGTAGTCCATTTCTGGGCGTCGCTTGACTGACTGGCCATACAGCCTGCCAGCCTGCCAGGCCCGTGAGCAGAGGCAGGCCGTCAACCTCCATTTCTCCGTGTCATGTACTCTGCGCGTTCCCCGAATTGATGCGTGGGTGGTTTGCCCTCTCTCCACCATCTACTCGTGTCGTCGAGCTGGGAGAAAACCCCCTTTTGTCTCACGCCCTGACATTGTTATTGAGCACAGGTTTTACCTGCAGCTGAGTCAAGCCCACGCTTTGCATGTGATCGGGACCAGCCTGTCTCACAATTGCCCTCCTTGCCCCCCCCCCCCACCTCACATACTCCATACAATACACCCTCGACGTACATATATAGGCAGCACCAAGGCCACGCCGGCACACAGTCGACGTGCTGCTCAATCACACACCCTTTCATCTTCGAAGATGACTTCTACGACCACGAACCCCGACCTCAGGGGCATCCTCACGCCGCTCCTCCCCTCGTTGCCCGCCGCAGCACTCTCGACACAGCCCGCGCCCGCGATACTACCCCTGCTCTCCCCCATCCTCAGACAGCGCGTGCAGCTCTTGTCCTCGGCCAGCACAGAGCCATGGCTGCGTTTGTTATCCTACGACAAGGCCAAGGACGCGCGGTTGGCCGAGGTGGCTCGGAGCGACCGACTGGAGCCGCATCCCGTTTCGGGCGAGGTCGAGGTCGACTGGGACTACGATGTCCAGACACAGTACAGGCGGCTCGATGACGAGACCCTGCAAGCACTCGTTGTGCTCCCCGAGTTCGAACTATTCTTTAGGCTCGTATACTGCGTCAACGACGAGGCGGGAGGCGGCGACGGCTGGCGGGTGGGCGAGATCAGCGTCCCCGACAAATCGAATCCGTTCGCGGCCTTCGCCGGGCATCCGAGCATCGCAGCCGCGGAAAGTGCGTTCCGGCAGGAGGACGGCCATACCAACAAGCCGAAACCACAACCCGCCAGCTCTGCCGCGGCGTATCAGCCCGTGTATGACAAGCAAGAGGAGGAGGATGACGACGACGACGATTATTGGGCTCGTTATGACGCAACACCAGCACGCACCCCGCAGGTCAACCGCTCGCCTGCGCCGCCGTCAGCGCAGCAGACAACACAGCCAGCTACTCACCAGGCCGTCGCGGAGGAAGACGACGCGTACTTCTCCCAATACGACAACGTGCAGCCCGCGATGGACAACCATGACCCAGACGAGGCTCAGGCGGCACAAGAATTCACGGGCTCGGCGCCTCCTCCCCTGGGCCTGCAGCGTCCTGTTGGCTCAGCCATGAGGGCAGGCGAGGACGGCGAGGAGGCCAACGAGGCCAACGAGACCAACGGCGCATGGACGCTTGCCCCGTCGCCGGGCGGCAGGTCGCAGGAAGAGGAGGAAAGGACGGCATCGCTCGCACATCCCAGGCCCGAGTCCAGCGCCAGCTCCAACGGCTCGAACACGGTGCTGAAGTTGGAGGAGCAGGCGGGGCGGCAGGAGTCGAGCGAGTTCGGAGTCAAGCAGCACGTGTCGAGGAGCATCAGGAGCCTGTTCCTGCTATCGCGCGCGGCGGGCATCGACAGGGACGAGTTCGAGAGGATGGTCAAGACGGAGCTGGACGTGCTGGGGATGGTGGAGCAGGATATATGAGCATGAGCGGGAACTCTGGCTGGCTGGGGCACGGGGCTTGGATGTCAACTGTGCGCAACTGTTTCCGTCCTAGAGATGGCATTGGGATCGCCTGGGCCTTTTCACTTTTCAGTCCGCGTCGGCGTGGGGAGATCCGTTGGTGGTCTGCCCACCCGAGCGCTGCGTTTCGGAGTCCGGTCGGCGCATCTTGTTCATTGGCCTGCATCTGCTTGTTTATCTCAGCGGTTCTGATGCATTACTTCATAGTCTGTGGTTCACGAATGAAAAAGTGAAGAACAATACGCCCTGTATCGCTCTTCTTTGAGACAGGTGGTTGCAAGACAAGAGTGAGCATCATGTGAGCGTGGGGGACGGCCCTGATCGTCCTTTATACCGAGCTGTACTCTGTAATCTGTTGGCGGCCCAACAAAACACCTGTGTACTTCCGGAGTACAGCGGCCGGGGCCCCTGCTGAGCATCCGACGCCAGCGCCTAGCACTCCTACCTAGGTACCTAGGCCAGGCGGCCCCCAGGCGCACAGAGTCCCCAGGCTGCCAGGAACCCGGACAGCCCAGACAGGACCAGGGTGCCTAGGACGGGAACCAAAGTCATCACACCACATTCACGCTGTGGGCAAGTACGGAGTACATGGAGCCCTTCGATGCCTGGTTGCGGTTAGTATGATAGACCTCCTACAGAACAGAGCACCCATACTTAAGTAGCCAATGGACCAGATTGGTATTCTCAGCTGTGATGCAGATTGTAAAAACGACCGTGTTCCAATGTGGGCGCAGATTTACCTGAGCCGGGGGGGGGGGGGACGAAAACATCGGCACGCCTAGCATTTGAAGTAGCTGCCCTGACCCCATACTCGGAGGCCCCTCATCGGTGCGGGAAGGGACCTGTTAGGATATGGCTTCCTGGACAGACAGACCTTGGCCGGGTCAACTGCTATGTACATCTCTTTACGCCCTGTGTCCCTCAAACCATTCTTCCCTGCTCTCGCATGTTCGGCCTGCTGTTCATGGTATTCGGATGATTGTTGCTACGATTGCGAGTGCCGAAAATTTTGGAGCTGCCTCTCAAGCACCACCAGTTGACATCTCCTGGCCACCGTCATCCAAAGATGGCTCCAAAGGCTGTAGACATACCCGCCTTCGCGGCAACCCAGATCGCCCTCCTCGAAGCCGAGCAAAAGTCCGAGATTGCAGAGACTAGCCATCTCATCTCGGCTCACTCCCCGTCGGCCCTGCAGCGCGCAGGTGTCGCCATCACCAACCTGACCGTGTCGTCGCAGCGCACGGGACTGGGCGGCAAGACGGTCATTGAGCTGGCCGCGGACTCGGCAGTGTCCGCCTCGGACGGCGAGCTGCCCGAACATGGCATCCGCACCGGCGACATCGTCCTGGTCAGCGAGCAGCCCGCCGGCAGCGCCAAGAAGCGGGAGGTGAAGGACCTCGAGCGCAAGGGTGTCAAGGGCGTTGTCACGAGGGTGAGGAGGGCCGACCTCGGCGTGGCGCTGGACGAAGACAAGGAGGACGTCGGCGCGGCGCTTGGGGGCAGGGTGTGGATCGTGAAGCTGGCCGACGAGGTCACGTTCAAGAGGTACCTGGTTCCTTCACGGGCTGTCCGAGCTGTCCGAGCTGTGCGGTGGTGGCCTCGTTGCTAACCAATGCAGGATGAACCAAACCATGGAGAGGCTTCAGGCCATGAGCGACTCTAAGCACTCCATGTTCATGCGAGTCCTGTTTGGCCAGTCCAGCCCTACGCCCGTTCCCCAACATCTCGAGTCTGACCCAGATGTTGGCAAGTTGGAATGGGTTGACCCGAGTCTCAACGACTCGCAAAAGGACGCCATACGTTTCGCCCTCGCCTCGAGGGAGATTGCCTTGATCCACGGCCCGCCTGGGACCGGCAAGACGCATACGTTGATCGAACTGATCTTGCAAATGATCAAGAGGGGCTTGCGGGTTCTGGTCTGTGGGCCGTCCAACATCTCAGTTGACAACATCGTCGAGAGACTGTCGCCACACAAGATCCCGATCGTCCGTCTGGGCCACCCCGCTCGCCTGCTACCGTCCGTCTTGAATCACTCATTGGACGTTCTCACGCGGACTTCCGAAGCTGGCCAGATAGTCAAGGACGTTCGCGATGAAATGGACGCGAAGCAGGCATCGATCAAGAAGACGAGGAATGGAAGAGAACGCAGGGCGATATACATGGACCTCAAGGAGCTGAGGAAAGAATACCGCGTGCGGGAAAAAGGCTGCATCAGCAACCTGGTCAAGGGGAGCAAAGTGGTCTTGGCTACTTTGCATGGTGCCGGAGGCTTTCAGCTCCGGAATGAGGAGTTCGATGTCGTGATCATCGATGAAGCATCTCAGGCTCTTGAGGCCCAGTGCTGGGTGCCACTGCTATCAGCCAAGAAGGCTGTCTGCGCTGGAGATCATCTCCAGCTGCCACCGACCATCAAGTCGCTCAACACCAAACCCAAGACGACAGCAAAGGAAGGCGGCAATGTGCCAAAGGGGGCAACGCTAGAGACCACCCTCTTCGACCGCCTCCTGGAACTTCACGGACCATCAATCAAGAGAATGCTCACCACTCAGTATCGCATGCACGAAAAGATCATGCGCTTTCCTTCGGATCAGCTGTATGAGTCCAGGCTTATCGCTGCCGACGCGGTCAAGGACCGCCTCCTTAAGGACCTGCCTTATGATGTAGAGGCATGCGATGACACCACGGAGCCGTTGATTTTCATCGACACTCAAGGTGGGGATTTCCCCGAGAAGGAAGACGAGGAAGATACCCCAAAGAACGCAAAGGCATCCCTCAGAGGCGATAGCAAGAGCAACGAGATGGAGGCTTTGCTCGTCAAGCAGCATGTCCGCGCTCTCGTGGGCGCTGGCGTCAAGGCTGCTGACATTGCTGTTGTGACGCCTTATAACGCCCAGGTATGTATAAGACCCACATTGCACTGTGCCATACAATGCGGGTCCCGGCCTTGTTGATGCTATCCATCCCATCTCGACAGCAATATCGCATTGTGTTATAGTTCATGCGGGACGATCACTAACAGGGTACACACCTACCAGCTTGCACAGCTTGCCCCTCTGAAAGAAGAATTCCCTGGCATCGAGCTTGGAAGTGTCGATGGCTTCCAAGGCCGTGAGAAAGAAGCAATCATTGTCAGCCTCGTCAGAAGCAACTCCGATGGCGAGGTCGGCTTCCTGGGGGAGAAGCGCCGGCTCAACGGTACGTTTCACAACCCCCAAGACCTCGGTATCGGCTAGCGAGACCTGCAGTGAAAACGGTCTAACTCATCGTAGTTGCAATGACGCGGCCCAAACGCTCACTTACTATAATTGGTGACTCGGAAACGGTTCAGAAGTAAGTCGAGACGGTCTTGAATGTCGACCTTTGTCCGGAAGCAACTGCGATGCAGATGTCAAACAGCACTGCACGGACCAAAATGACACACATGAGACAGCACCAAACCTCCCAGACGACATCGAGCTGACCTTGGCCCCCCTCTTGGCAAACAGAGGCAGCAGGTTCCTGAAGGAGTGGATGTCTTTCCTCGAGGATAACGCAGACCTGCGCTACCCTGATCTCGCGTCCTTGACAACCGACGCTTGAAGCGAACCGAAGAGGGCCTTCTGTAGCGCCATCCACTCTCCCAACCTCAATTAGAAGCCCCACCAAAAGCTGACGCTCAGACGCTCACAACATTGGACGGAGTTCAGGAAAACCAGCTCGTAGAACTCGAGCAGGCGTCGTGCAACAGGTGTCACCGGACCGACTTTGAGGCGAGATGAGGACCCTCGAAGATCTAGTCAGGTCCAAACGTCTGTGGTATCTCGGCTCTGCCAGAACTGCGAGATTGCGTCGACTTGCTCGGTTATTCCACCCTTATCTCCTTGTCCGAGGGGAGAATCTGCCGGAGAGCTTTCGTGGAGCCGTTGCCAAACATCTCGGGTCCCTTCTAGATATTCTGCTGCAAACAGCCGGAGATGTTCGGGTGGGTGAGAGCCGACTTTCGTCCAAGCCGAGCACGTCAACAACGAGGGTGTCCCCAATGGCAAGCCACGTGCAGAACGACGTTGTAAGAAAATCGGATGAGATCATCGAGCTCACCCCTGCAGTTTCAGACTCGTACCGAGGGATGGGGGTCAGAGCGCCAGCAGGGATGAGCTGTGCAAGCTGGGGCTCCCCAGTGTGCCCTGGGCCTGGCGTACCCTTTTCAGAATGCGCGGATACGACGACGCTATGCGGGACATGATGATAGCGACATTGAATATGATCTTGGGGAAATTAACACGTCAATTAGTGTCGAAGATGCTCACTCCAATGGGTTTCCAAATGTTCGCGACCATTCATATCATTGGGATTGTCTTGTAGCTTCAGCGTGGGTCCCGCCCGACGCGAGGGCTGCCGCCAGATACTCATCTCGTCTCCTCTGCGGGCCACGGCCCAGCTTCCTCGCAGGATTAGGGGAGCATGCCACCCATCTGGCCGGGAGGTGAGGGCGAGCATATGCAGGCGACAGATGCAGGCGATTCTGATGATAAAAACTGGAGGCGGGGGCATCATCCGCAACCGATTCATTATCAACAAAGTTGTTGCTTCGTATTCCTCCTCTTTCCGCACTGCAGCTGCAGTTTCATCTAATGGGGAACCTGGCATCTGGCTGGCTAGCGCGTCTGTCGTGACCAAGATCACCCCAGCGTGTGATCCCCCAAGGGCCCCGAATGCGTCCTGGGCGTGCAGACATGGAGACCCTAGCAACCCGCCTGCTTTACAAAGTCGCTCCCTGTGGTGTCAATGCTCGGGACGCCTAAGTTTAAAATCTGAAGATCAGACGATAGCCGGAAGTTTTTTCCTGGCCGCGATCAGCGTGTCGTCTCGCTCAACACGACACCGGCAGAATGTCCTTTGTATGACAATAGTGGATGCAGACTTGGCCCTTTGCAGTCTCCGTCCTCTCTCTGCCTTTGGAACCGAAGTCGAGCTGAAATCTCAGATCTCTAACGTTCCGGTAGCTCCAAAGCTAAAATGCCTGCGGCATAAAGGCTCTGGTGCCGCATGAAGAGTCGAAGATCCTCGAATCAAAGCGGGCTGATGTGCGGATGCGCGATGCGCCCTTTCCTTGGGTAACATGGCTCCAGGCAAACCGCTTGTCGGACCAAAAAAGAGACGAAAAAAAAAAGACGAGGCAAGACGCCAGCCGGGGCACGCAATAAATGTGCTAACACACACGCATGCACGCAACGTTTTTTTTTTCCTTTGGCTCGATGTATATTTTACCTGCCGCGGATCCCGCTTGCGCATCGCTGGCGGGCGCCCTGCACAACCGGAAGCCTGCCATTATGGACTGGTCAAACAGTGCAGCCGGGGAGGACCTTCGAGACTGGCTTCGGCCTGAATTCTGGTGTTGGGCGCCGGAGCCGCTTTCAGGCTATAAGATGCGTGATATTATAGTCTACGCAGTTAAGTGTGCCTCCACCCGCGGCTAGACTACCCGAGGAGAGCTTCTAGATCCAATGTCTCGGTCACAAGCTCTTGCCGGTGGAGGCGTGTTGACAACCTTGGAAGACAAGGGAGAGCCTCTTGTGGCTGCTCCCCCAAATCATGGGGGGGCGCGAGCCAGAAGAAGACGGCGGGCCGGGAGTCACAGCAACACCTGGGCACTTGTGTTATTGGATGCCTACCCCGTTCTGTGACTGCCACAGCTCGCATGCAGTGCGTCTAAATATGGCCAACTAAATGTCACGCAACGCGCGCCGGAGGCAGTCCCACGGACAGCCACAGCGGACGCTCATTCGTGCTCTGTCCGCGACAAAGCGACGTGCAGCGACATGCGGCCCCAGGATCTCCATCGATAGTCACAGCCAACTGACCTGAGTCGGGGGCGGGGTCCTGAATCAGCTAGCATCAGCGGCATGGGTAGCTGAATAGGCAACCGACACGACGCCCATGGCTGTGGCTGCGCGGGGTTTACACAGCTGCCCAGTGCCCAGTGCCCAGTGCCCACAGAGTTCCCAGTTCCCCCATGCAGAAGGATGAGCATGTTTGCTTGAGCCTCACGCCACAAGGTGCAACGGCAGCCTGCACGTCGAAAGGGGCTGTTGGAGTTGGCCGTTGGGAGAGGGCCCGGACCAGACCAGCTACGAGGACACTCGCTTGGCCGACGCGGACGCACACTGTCCGTGCTCACTGCTCACGCAGAAGCGATGTGGGAGGACGACAGGCCCGGCTGTGACCCAGGGGCCTTTTTTGTGTTGTGCACAACCCCTCCGTATCGCGGCGCCGGCGAGTCGCGGGACCTCAATGGTAGTGATGATCATTGATCACCACATCAGGGGTGAGGTGAAGGGGGCTGCCGGATAGCACCTGGACGACGGCCAAGAGTGGCCAGCCAGCCCCCGGGGCCGTAGACCCCAACCGGTCTCTTCCTCTGCCTGGTTTGATCTTATTATACCATCGGAACTAACCAGATCGCCAAAGATGTGACGGTCCGCACCTGTCTGCCTTGCCTGTGTTCGGGTTTCCACCGACCCTCGTCGGTGAGATGACCCGAAGGCACCAGCAAATTAGGACCACGGCCGTGGTGGCAGCTGCTCGGAGCTTATCTCGAGATTCTTTGGTCCGTCACAAGATGCAAGATACTGGCAGGAGGCGTCGTGGGCCAATTGTCGCAGGTGACCAGAAGAGTATCAAACGCCGGACGTGCAGCTGCTTGGGCCCTCTTTTCCCAACGCCCCCTTCTCCACCACCACGATCCCAAAGCAGCATGCCAGCCATGCCAGGCCCCTCGGGCATGGGCTCCCTGTCTCTATCCCTGTCGCCCATGCTGCATGGCTTCTGGGTAGACCCCAGCAATGCGTGCCTCTTCCACTTTCACGGGGGCCGCCCGCTCGACGCTCCAGATGTCTCCAATTCGTATGTGCTGCTCGTTTCACTGACCGCATCCTTCCACCTTCCAAGGGGCAGGTTCATTACACAGTACATATCATCTTGATGCGCCGCCCCTCGCGGGCCGCTCACTGATCTTTTGATGCTCCTCCCTCTGTCGTAGGGACCAACGCCTGACCAACGCAGGCCGATTCAGCACGATACATGATGCAGATGCTGGGGTCTGCCCATGCTGTCCTTCGTTTGGCCATACTTTAGCCCACAATCTCCAAGGTTTCTCCATCCTCACACAATCTGCCAACGACGCCACTGACTCGATTGCTTCTGCTTGGGCCGGCGCCGGTTGGCCCTCACACCACCAACCGCGGGCTCGCCTCCTGCCCGCACGCACGGCATTGATTCTGGGACCCTCCAGGGTCCTACAGGCCGGCACGCATTGCTGACCATGTGGATCGATGCAAGCGCGAGGCAGAGTAGGAATAGTCGCGAGCCCACGACCCGCGAATCATCCTCACCGCATGAAGCAGCCGACATAGGGTCGGCCATTCTTTAATCGTAATGCCTCATGGCTCTTCCGGACCGCCGTCAACTCCAGTTTCCAACAACATCAATATTGCCAACGCCTCGCCGCCGCCAACCTCCTCCCCGGCGGCCCAGAGGTTCAACCCACCGCCCACAGACAGCAACGCCACGATGAAGAAGACCAAGGTCTTCGGACCGGCCTCCCCTACCACTGCGAGGCCGCGGACAGGCCACCAGAGCATCCGGGGCCTAAGAATATCGGGTCCCATCCCCATGCCGAGCACAAACCCCATAGAGGACGACGAGTTTCCAATACGGAACCCTGGGACCGGCATTGCAAGTGCAACACCGCTGGACAGTGAGCCCGTCCCGCAGCACGCACCGCAGCACGCACCGCAACACGCACCGCAACAGACAATCCCGACCCTTGCCTCGCCTGTGACACAAACCTTCTCTCCCGTCGCACAGTCTGCCGCAACACCGGTTCGTGCCGACACGGTCGACGTTCCACAAACCGTCCCGGAGCACCCTGGTTCGCCGTCGCCGCACCCGTACACTCACCCGCGCGCATCATCCGGGCCGAGCCCCGACGGCGGCGCCTCTTCCGCCGCATCCGCCGCGAGGAGCTCTCCGGCTCGATACCAGCGGACGAACCCCCCCTCCGCCAACACGCGGTTCTCGACCCTGAGCATCAATTCCGGCAAGACGGGCGACACATCTGCTCACGATGTCTCCAACAGCCCACCCCAGCGCAAGAAGTCAACCCTGCGCTCCGCTCTCAGCAAGTTCTTGCGCCGCAAGAAGAAGGAGGGCAGTCTGAGCTCTGTCAGCGAAACCGACCGCCAGTCTGCACTGGGCGGTGGCCCGCCGCAACATCGCAGTGTAAGTAACACCGCAGTCGCTTGATGTTGTCACGGAGAGACCCCCTTGGCATGAGTCATGGCTAACAATTCCTCTTGCCAGGTTCCTCCGGCCGCGAGACTGGATGCTGCGCGGCAAAACGAACCGGCGAAGCGCGTGGCATCTATGCCCGTCAACGAGTTCGACCGGGCCCTGCGGTCACATTCGATAGGGCCAGATGACATAACGGCCATAGAGAGCGCGCGGAATTCCTTGTCATTCGATGCTCTGGGATCATCACCCAACCGAAGGCGCGCCACCACAGCCACCAACAGCAAACTCTATCTCATGATGGCCCCCAACCCACGGAGCCGAGGAGAAGAGTGGGCCGGCTTGTCTCCCCGGCCAGCAAGCACGCATGCCCGCGGAAGTCGCTTTACCGAGGACGACCCCGAGGAGATTGGCCGGGCGCTCACCAGCGACGCTGGCGGCGAGAATGGGCACAAGCGACGCTCGCGGTCTCTGTCGCAGCTGTATGAAGTGGCGCAGGAGCAGAAGGAGTCCCGGCGCCGCAGCCGCAGTGACGAGATCCGCTTTTGGAGGGAAAGCTATGACATCCCGGGGCCACTGTCGCCACTCTCGTCGAACCCCAACGAGAACGAGACAGATATCGGCAACGAAGACCAATTCGAACATGGCCGGGCATCAATGAGCATAGCGGAGTCGCAGGCAGCCGACAAGGCACCCAAAACACCACCGCAGCCTTTCAATTTTGGGACCTTGTCCTCCATGAACGAGATGGCCGGGATGAAAATCACGCAGGCTGCAACTCTGGACGAGAGATTTGGCTGCCTTGAATCCCGTGTATACAGGCTCGAGCGGGTGGTCAACCAGCTCTGCCACTCGGTGCCGGGGTTCAAGGGCCCTTTCATGGAGGTCAGCACCGGGGCCGGGAGCCGCAGCGGTCTCCAGCGCTCGGGCTCAGGGGCCGCGTCTGCGTCCGGGGTCCACGGGGTCCACCGTGTCCCCTCGAACCAGCCGACGTACGCATACAGCAACGTCGTACCGCCCATGATTCCTTCCATCTACCAGACCAACAGCCGCGACGCAGGGCTGGCACCGTCCTCCCGCCGGTCGGCCGACACCGCCGACGACAACACCTCCTCTCGCATGTCGTTCGGTGAGGGACGCACTTACATCGACTCCTTGCACCCTCCTTCGTCATCTGCAACGCAGGATCAGTCTACCACCGGCGCCTCGGCGCCACAAGGGGCCGCGCTCCTCAGGCCAAAATCCGAATCCACCGTGCGCCCTGCAACGAGCATGCCCTCGCTGGGACCCCGGGCATCTCAGTCAAGCATCGAGGATTACCCACAGAATAGCGCAGCTCTCGTCGCGCAGCTCGAGAGCGAGCGCGCAGCCCGTCAAGTCCTCGAGGACCAGGTGCGCAAGCTTTCGGAGCGCATGAACAACCTGTCATCCACGATGTTTGCCATGGTGCGAGACCCGGCAAAGTCCAAGTCGAACGAGCGCCTGCGGCCGCAGACGGCGACTTCAGCCACCATGCCTTCCAACAACACCCACCTAGCGCCCATCTCGGTCAACACGAACAGGGTTGTACCCAACGTGGACCCGTCAAGCAAGGCGCAGAGCATCTTCGGAAAGGACAGCCACTTCAGCAGCGTCACCAACTCGCCTGCGGTCGAGACCGCCGACGACGAGTTCTCCGAGGCGTTCCAGACGCCGAGGGAGGAGCCAGGCGCGACCCCGAACCCACAGCAGTACGAGCCGTTCGGCGGCGTGGACGAGTTTGGCGGCGTCGTGGCGGGTGACGAGGACGAGGCTGACCTGACGAGGAAAAAGGCTGCCAGGACCCTGAGCTTGAGCCAGCTGACCATGGGCAAGGGGCTGCCGACGAGGATCTGAGCGGGTGTGGCCTTCCGCAGCCAGCCCTCTGCCTCCACCGACGAGAGTCAACCCGCCATTATCACGCTAAGCATGTCTTTGTATTCCAACCGTTCCCGTTCCGGATCACCATCACTACAACCTACACGACCAAAGCACGAAACGACCACCCAGTGTACACCTCATGCTACCACATCAAACCGCACAAAGAGAGAAGAATATCCCGGTGCTCTTTACAGACGAAAGATACCCAGCCCTGCCGTTTTCATCTGCTGTATTTTTAGACAAGTCCATTTTTCAACCAATTTTTGCAGGGCGTCTAGCGCAACGAGGACGTGGCGAGCGATCGAGCGTGCTGCGCTTCTTTGGTGGAGGCACGCGTGCTATCTTGTTATTTTAATCCTTCTCAACCGGCGTGTCTGTTGGCAGAGGGGCGGGCCTAGGCGTGTTCCACGGGGAAGGGATTGGGCGGTGGCAGATCTGATTCCGTATTTATTTACCATTCAGCGAGAGAGGCACCTCTGCATTCTCACCTAGACCGGGTCAAGGGTTTGTCATATCTAGTGCTCCTGTCTTCCATATTCAGGATGTGTCTTAATTTTCCTCCTACGTTTCACTTTGTTGATTTAGCTTACCATCATTTTCTTGTGTCTCAACTTCAATTTCTACCTCCGATTTCGACCTACCTGGTCCGTGGCTGCTGATGGTCGGGAGGGTGTGGATGCATGTATGTAGCTTGACCTGGCCTGCCATTCTTCACGAGGCCGCCTACTCTCCCGCCTTTCTGCTTCGATCATTCTGAGAATAGGGCGCAGCGCGGCATTTGTCTATTCACACGCGAGTCACACATTGTCCTTGAGGCGTACTTGTCCGCCTGCACACAAGAGATACCAATACGACGCAATTGATTGAATCGTGCGCGGTGCGGTGCGACTAGCATATGTCAGTCAGGAAAGACTCGCAAGAGAGTATGTTCTTCGCGACGTGGTACCTTGAGCGCAAGACAACGGCATCAGAGTCCGCGAGCCATGGAACCTTTGGACTGCTGCTCGCAAGCCCTTTCTACCTCCGACGCCCATGACGCCTGTTACGCCCCATTGTGATGTCCTCACATACATCCTGCCATGCCAGATACCGTTCCTTACGAATAGACGAGCACCACAGCAAATACAAAAATAAGCCGAGGGTTCCTCATGCGGAGCTCGCACACACCCAGCAGGACTTCTCAGCAGGCTTATCCAATGCGTGGGTGTAAGACTAAGACTTGATATTAATGAGGGTTAGTGTGATAATTGTCAACGGCATCAGGCAGACACCCCCAACCCCTTGTTATGATTGATTGATTGACTTCTTGCGACAAGTTTCCGTGGCGGACTGAACACCACATTTTCTTGTATCTGAGCCCTTGTGAAATAAGAGAATACGCTGGAGTAACTGAATGCCACTGACTGCGCGGTATCTGCAGGGACTTCAGGAGCTTTGGATCAGTTGGCACCTATATCCTGATGAGCGACTCCCGTGGCATACTACTATGTAGCACTCGAGATGGCACCGCTAAATCAGGTCAGTCTAAGCTCTGCACGCCAGAAGCACGAACGAGACGCTCGATATTATCTCCGTCTCCACATGTGCTTTCCACTATCTTGACAATCACAGCCAGCGCCGCGATCCTTGCTCCAAGGATGCGGGAAATGCACAGTGGTCTGTACTTGATGGGCCTGTATAAGGAAATGTCACACAAGCTGGTGTTGGCAATTCCTCACGTGTCATTTCAAATTCTTGGTCGAATTTGGACTTTAGAGAGCCCAAGATGTTCATGTCAGTAAAATAAGTAATAAGTCATGTGTATGGGGACAGACGCTGTCGGTCAGGGGCAGCCGAGGCTGATGTCATTTCCTGGTGCGATAAGCTTATCTCAAGTGAGACAAGGCTCTCGGAAAGAAATGTTGAGGTCCAGCCAGGTCCACCCGCTCGCCGTCTCTGGCGAGGCAATAGACGATGAAGCTCGGTGCTCTCGTGTCGATTCCGCTTGCTATGCCTTGAACAATCAGACATTCAGAGGACAGGTGGGCGAGGGATCCTCAGCAGCAACAGCATCATCTGCACACTCTCATTACGCCGCTTGCTGAACGCGCTCGTCTTGTCCGTCGTCCACCCAGCACGCAGCTGCTTCACCCGGGCGTCGCAGACCGCGAGCATCCATCTATGCATGTCTCCCAAAGTAGAGCAGCTCAAGGATGAGGTTTGTCTCCTCCTGCCACGACGTGCCTCAGCCAGGCGCTCCTGCTGACGCCAACCCCAGGGCACCCGTCTCCAGGTCGTCACGGCCGGCGCCGTGGCCGGCCTGATATCGCGCTTCGTCATCGCCCCCCTCGACGTCGTCAAGATCCGCCTGCAGCTCCAATCGCATTCCCTGTCCGACCCCCTCTCCTACCAGCACCTCGGCGGGCGCGGGCCGGTCTACAAGGGCACCATCTCGACCTTCAGGACCATCCTCGCGAATGAGGGCCTCACGGGCCTGTGGAAGGGCAACGTCCCCGCCGAGCTCATGTACGTCAGCTACTCGGCCATACAGTTCACAACATACCGGTCCACGGCACAGCTGCTGCGCCGGGTGGCCGGTGAGGGCCAGCACGCCATCCCCGGCGCGGCCGAGAGCTTCGTGGCTGGCGCGGCGGCCGGCGCGGCGGCCACCGCAGCCACGTACCCACTGGACCTCCTGCGGACCCGGTTCGCGGCCCAGGGCAACGACGACCGCGTGTACACGTCGCTGCGGCGCGCGGTGGCGCAGATTGGCCGGGACGAAGGCACGCGGGGCTTCTTCCGCGGGCTGGCGCCGGCGCTGGGCCAGATCGTGCCGTACATGGGCATGTTCTTCGCGGCGTACGAGGCGCTGCGCCCGCCGCTCGCGGGGCTCGACCTGCCCTTTGGCGGGGGCGACGCCGTGGCCGGCACGCTCGCCAGCGTCGCCTCCAAGACGGGCGTGTTCCCGCTCGACACGGTCAGGAAGAGGATCCAGGTCCAGGGCCCCACGCGCGCGAGGTACGTGCACAAGAACATCCCCGACTACATCGGGCTCGGCACCCTCGGGACGATGAGGTCTATCCTGCGGACAGAGGGGATCAGGAGCCTGTACAGGGGCCTGACTGTCAGCCTGCTCAAGGCTGCACCGTCGAGCGCGGTCACGGTGTGGACTTATGAGAGGGTGCTCGGCACGCTCATAAGCCTGGATGGCACGAGCAAGGAGAGGAGGTTGTGAAAGAGGGACTCGCATGGCTGGCGTATGGGGTCAAGAGACAACAGTTGGGGGACAAAATGCCAAGGCATGCAGAACACTATACGATAGAAGACGCATGGGTGCAGGGAGTTGGTCCGCTTGGGCATGATGATTATGAATATCAATGACCAGCCAGCCGCCTTGTTCATGATTCCGGCCCTAGCGCCGTGACACCGGCCATGTGAATTCATCTATGTTCCATATGATACAAGCAGCCTTTATTTCCCCTTCCTAACCCACTCCTCGACCGTCTCCCTGGCGCCCTTGACCTTCTCCTCGAGCTTGTCACGGCCGAGCTGGCTGTGCACCCGGGCGAAGCTGACGCCCTGCCTCCAGCTGTCCCTGATCTGAAGGTGGCTCTGGGCCACGACGGGGTAGCGCTGCTCGTACTTCCAGGCCAGGTCGGCGGTGTTGCGCATGGTGTGGGGGATGGCGGTCCAGCCCATGGCCACGCCGAAGGCAGCGGGGACGGTGGCCCTCAGCAGGATGTTGCTCCGGCGCGTGACGATGCTGCCGGCCATGGCGGCCACGAGGACGTAGACCAGGCCGGGCATCAGCTTCTCGCCGGACTCGGGCGGGGGCGCCAGGGAGGCGATGGTGTCGGTGAAGGACTTCTCGAGGTGGAAGGCGCGGTCCATGGTGCGGTTCACGGCGTCCTCGGCGCTGCAGGCATGGCGGTAGACGAACAGGCGGACGTCACGGATCTGGGCGGCGAGGCGGTCGGTGGGCGTGGGGCCGTGGCGCTGGTGCTGGTGCTGCTGGGGGTGGAGGGCTGCGTCGGCCGGCGAGGGCGACGCCGGGTTCTCGGGGGCCAACGTGGAGGAGGAGGAAGACGGCGACGACGGGGTGTCTGGCCTCGTGGCGGGCTTGGCGGGCGGGAGGGTGGCTGTTGTGGGCACGGCGTCGTAGTCGTCGTATATGGGCTTCCTGGACTAGAGAGCAGGCTCGGTGTCAGTTCTGTTCTGGCTTGTTTGCTGGGCAGGGCAGGGCAGGGCTGGCAAGGGCACAGGGCACAGGGCGGGCTGGTCGCGTACGTGAGAGGTGTGTGATTCCGGAGCTTCGGCAAGGGCCAGCTTGGGGGAGAAGGCGACGGCTCCAACGAGCATGGAGGCTGCCAACGGCGCGGCGCGCTGCGAGAATAAGAGCGTGGTCAGCCGTGATCAGCCAAAGGTCTGGGTGTCAATGGCAATCGGGGCTGCGGGTGCGGCTACTCACCCGCTGCAGCAGGGCTCTTGCAGCCATGGTAAGCTCAATTGGGTCAGTTGAGGCTCTGGGAGGGGGGTTCGAGGGGCTCTCGTGTGCTGCGGCGGCGGCGTTGAGATGCCAGGTGAAGTTTGAGGGAGAAGTAGGCCCGGCTCGTCCTCGGACGGACATGGGTCTGGCCTGGCTCACAGTCCACGGCTCTTCCCGACGGCCTGTTTCCTCGAAAATTTTAGCGCCCTTCGTCATGGGCATTACATTACGACATGGTACAACTTAAACACTGCCCGACTTCATACCACGGGCAGAGTGCTGCAGCTGCGAGCAAGATGGCCCCTCGTGCAGGCTGGTGCGTCGCATAATTTCCATCTCCCACACCAAGCCATGAGGTGTGAAGGCCGCCCGCCCCCACCGCCATCATGATCAAGTTCGCCCAGCGCCCGCCCACAAAAGCCTCGGCGTCGTGGGTGTGCTCAGCTTGTCTCTGCCGCAAGACCCAGCAGACAGCCCGGCAGATCCCCCGCGCAGCAGCAGCCTCGCGATGGCAACACACTGCCGCCCACTCCGAGACCGTCCAGCCTCCTCCACACGCCTTTTCCATCCCGCCCTCCGCCACCAACTCCACCGACCGTGCCAAGCACGACGATGCAGACCTGCGCCGCATATTCGACTCCCCTTCCGCATGGCTGGCCTTCTCCGGCGCCTTCAAGGGCAAGCCCCGTGTCGGCCTCTTCCGCAATGCTTACCTGACCGAGCCTCGAGGCTTCCTCGCCTTCGCCCAGGTCTCCCTCGCACGCGCCCAGCGCATTGTCGACAAGGTCCTCTCCGCTACCTCCGTCCCCGAATACAAGGCTGTCGTGCGCGATCTCGACAGGCTGTCCGACCTGCTCTGCCGCGTCATTGACCTGTCCGACTTCGTGCGCGTCACACATCCCGACAGGCACATGCAGGCCGCCGCCTCCGAGGCATGGACCGTCGTGTATCAGTACATGAACCAGCTGAACACCACCACCGGCCTGAACGAGCAGCTGGGGAGGGCGTTGGACAACCCAGATGTCTCATCCGCCTGGTCGGAAGAGGAGAGGGCTGTGGCCGACATTCTCAAGTTGGACTTCACAAAGTCCGCCGTCAATCTGCCCAGGGAGGCGAGGGACAGGTTCGTCGACTTATCCTCCGAGATAGGGGATGTCGGCCAGACCTTCGTCGAGCAGATGGCCCCAGAGCAACCCGTCCTCACGTTCCCGAGCAGCAGGCTCCAGGGCATGGACCCGATGATAGCCCGCAGGATGACCCGGAGGGGGCACGTCTACCTACCTGCCCTGAGCGGCGAGGCCTCTCTGGCCCTGCGTACTGTGCATGACCAGGACACAAGGAAGGCCATATATTATGCTTCGCGCACCGCGTCGAAAAGAACCGTCCGCCAGCTCGAGCATCTGCTGAGGCTGCGGGCTGAGATTGCTAGCCTGTCAGGTTTCGAGAGCTACGGTCACATGGCGTTACGCGATAGGATGATGGCCAAGTCGCCCGAATCCGTGCAGCAATTTCTCAAAGCACTCAACAAGAACAACGCGCCCATAGTCAGGCGCGAGATGGAGGACCTCATGGCCCAGAAGCGGCACAAGGTCGGCTTGTCCTCGCCCGAGTTGCAGCCGTGGGACAAGGACTACTACATGGGCCAGATCAGGGATCTCGAGAGGTCGAGAGCAAGACGTGAGGACTTCTTGTCCGCGTACTTCTCGCTTGGGACCATCATGCAGGGCCTGTCAAGGCTCTTCACCCGTCTCTACGGGATCCGTTTCGTGGCCAGGGAGACCATGCCGGGCGAGACATGGCACCCCGAGGTACGGCGGCTCGACGTGATATCCGACACCGACGGTCACGTCGCAGTCCTGTATTGCGACCTGTTCTACAGGGCAGACAAGTCGCCAAATCCGGCTCACTTCACAGTGCGGTGCTCGCGCGAGATCGCAGGGTCTGAGCTTGAGGAAGCCGAGTCCGCCGCTGGACAAGCCGCGGCGGGTGTTCCGGACTTCGCGTCGCCCGAGGAGGCTGCCAACGACGGCATGGCCATGTCTCGAGGCCGCAATGGCGTGCTGAAACAGCTGCCCACCATCGCCCTCGTATGCGACTTCCCACAGAGCCAGGCGGGCGGGGACAAGCCCGCCTTCCTGACCTATGGACAGGTGGAGACGCTCTTCCATGAGATGGGCCACGCGATCCACAGCATACTTGCGCGCACCTCGCTGCAGAACGTCTCGGGGACGCGCTGTGCGACCGACCTGGCCGAGCTCCCCTCCACGCTCATGGAGCACTTCTGCGCAGACCCAGAAGTGCTGGGCCTCTTTGCCCGGCATTACGAGACGGACGAGCCGCTCAACTACCAGATGGTCGTCGACAGGATACGGCTGTCCCGGCGGTTCGAGGGCACAGACAATGAGAACCAGATCCTCCTGGCGATGCTAGACCAGGAGTACCATTCCCCTCGTGCGGCAGGCGAGTCCTTTGACTCGACCGAGGTCTACCGCGGGATTCAGCTCGAGTATGGCAACACGCCTGTCGACCCGCCCGGCTGCAGGTGGCAGGGCTTCTTTGGCCACCTGTTTGGGTACGGCAGCACGTACTACAGCTACTTGTTCGACCGCGTTCTTGCTGAACGGGTGTGGAAGGAGGTCTTCTCCTCCGGACGGGACGGCGCAGCCATCAGCAGGGAGAATGGCGAGCAACTGAAGGAAGGCCTGCTCAAATGGGGTGGCAGCCGGGACCCGTGGAGGTGCCTGGCGGACGCGCTGAGGGACGACCGCGTGGCTGACGGCGACGAGAAAGCCATGGCCCTGGTGGGAAGCTGGGGCACAGGAGCCACAGTAAAAGAGTGACGGAAGATCTGCATTAGTGACCGTAAGAAAGACATAGACGAGGAAACACCACTGCATATAAAAGATTATGATATCCTGTATGGTGGGTCTACTAGCAGATGAGGCCTTGGAACCGATGCTGGGCCTGCACCTTCGCGTTTGCCCTCTTCAGCGATGGTCGCAGCCCACACTGGTTCCCTTGCCGTCCAGAAACACCACCGTCATTGCAGTCTTGTCCCCCTTCTGGTCCATTCCGAACATGAACGCGTACGTACTCGCACTCAAATTCCCACTTCTCACTGTCCTTTTCGTCCCGCCAGGAAACCCGTCAAGACCTGGTGCAGCACCGCGCTGTGCTCCGGGAACTGCTTCCTTGTGAACGTGCCCGGGGAGGCCAGGCTGTCCGAGCCTAGGGTCTCAAAATGGCTGACGTACGTCTTTGCTGGACTCCATGTTGTAGTAGATCCTGTGGTGTTGTTGGCGCTGGTCTCGTTAGGACCATGTGTGCCGATCTTCACCTGTATGAATTCTATACCTAGATAGAGCCTGCTGGGTTTCCCTTGAGCATGTTCAGCCCTCTAAGCCTATCAGTCCTCGAAGGTATATTAATTCCGCGTTCTATCTCTGCCCGCGTCTTATGTGAGCATGCGCAGCTGAATCTAGGGATGTGGACAACGGGGCAGGACAAGCTTCCAATATTGCTAGAATAGATACCGGGAGTCGGCTACCTGATCTCGAACCTCTTAACGCCGTTCTTTCCGACCTCGCGATGGAACCGCGGATCTTGCTCATCTTGCTCCACTGGGTTCAACCTCAGCGTCCCATCCGCCTCCCTCTCGTACGTCCCTTTTGCCAAAAGTCCGGCTTCCTCTACCGCCTGTCCTTGCATTATAGTAGGCACGATACACTCACCCACCAACACCCACTTTTTCTCGTCTTCCTCACCATCCAGCGGCCTCAGAATATACGGAACGATGCCGCCAAACAGGACAACGACCACGTCCCCGGGTTTCATCGCTGCAGGCCCAAGACCGAGTTTCCCATCCTCGCACCGGAAAACCCTGCGCCCAAGGAAGGCGTTCATCGAGCACATTGCTCGTTCCATTGCGTAAGTGCTCCCTTCCGCCTCCACGGCGGCCCAGAAGTCCTTGAAGTCGTCGTGCCGCAGTGCCTCGGCGTCCCACGAGGAGCGCTCCCGCCAGTACAGAAGGAACTCGCCCAAATTGTCGGTACTCATCTTCTCGCCATCCAGGATCTCGGTCGACTTGCGCATGCCGTACTTTCCGGGAATGCCGGTCGTGGCCGCCATCTTGAACCCACCGCCGGATGAGAGTAACTCGGCCTGCCTCTCGGGGTCATTCAAACCGGGCAGGGTAAATTTATCCATGGTTGCGCTCCAGGAAGAGCGGACCTGGCGGTCTGGGTCGTTTAGGTAAGACAGTATGATGAGCACAGCGTCCCTGAGGCTGTCTGGCTGGCTCGAGAAAGAGATGTTGCTGGCGGTGAATGGCTCCGTCACTTCTGACACGGTGGTGACCTCGAGGCCGGTGAGCGTGAGAGACTTCCCTTCTGCTCCAAAAGTATCGTCTCCGAGGATGAATAATTCCCCAGCGTTGGCGTAGTACCCATGCTCCTGTCGGAGGGCCAGAGGCTCGGCGAACAGGGACTGGTCCCATCTCGGCACCCAGGAAGGAGACGTGCTGCTGTCAACCTCAAGACCGTGTTGTACGGCGCTCAGAAGCCTCAGGTTCAGGTCCTGTGAAAGCATGCGCCTCGTGGCGTTCGTATAGACTGATTGCACGTCCGCGGCGTAGTCTGGGGACACGAGTTGTTCTTTTTCAGGATCGTTGCCCGAGAACGGCATACCAAGCAGGGCGAATATCCGATCCCTCGGGTCTGTCGACTTGAACTTGCCCATCGTCGTCGCCAGGACGGCAGACAGGTCGAGCTTGGAGAAGCTCGAGATGGCGCTTCGCCTGGCCAACGGGAGGACGTAGATGAGGAACGCGTTGTATGCAGCCGAGATGGGCCAGTCTGGGTTTGTTGCCCATCCTCTGGTCAGCAGCCACGCCGCGCTGATGCCGACCAGGCCCCAGTTGATAGTATGGCCACCCCAGACTACCGTCACGTTCTGTCCGAGGACCAGCTCCTGTATCACCCAAAAACGAGTAAAGTAGTCCGTTTGGAAAAGGGCCTGGAGGGCCGTCCAGCCGTCCTCGTCAATACGCAACCCGTTCTGCTGAGGCTCGAACGCGTCCTTGTAGCTGGCAAACTTTTGGGGGTTGGTCGGAGGGCGCCAGGAACGAACTATTTCGCAAATGTTACTGAAGGCCAATTTTGCGTAGTTTGCCTTGTCCTGTCCAAGCCAGACGAGGACTCTCCGCGCTTTCGAGTAAATGTTCCGCATAATCGACACTTGTTGACCCCGCTCAGAAAGATCCGCCTGGTTGATACAGACGGCGTCAGCCCAGATATATCGCCTGCGATCTGGGTATCGAAGCCTCTTCAGGGCATTCTCAAGGTTCTTTGGGATCGAGACGGTCTGACCGCCGACTGGAAGCGACACTTGATCTTTTGGGTTCCCCCATGTGTAGGAAATTGCTTCATATCCGACTTCTTTGTCCAGGTCCACAACTTCCAGACGCGTCTGAAGGTTCGATTCAGCCGATCCAGGATCCACGATGAGCACCCTGATGCTGTGGTCATTTGGAAGTGACTTGTACACCGTGTCACTTTCCTGAACGTCCACCTCTAGCCAGGACGTTGTGTCTTCGAGCTGTTCGATCTCAGCGTCGCTGACATCGAATGCGCATTGCTCGACTGCGTTTCCCGCCCTGAGGAAGATTGCCCTAGCAAGGTGGTCTGCCTCCGGCACAAACTCAGGCGGCTCATCATCAGAAGCCAGGCCACTTCCACCGTCTGCAGGTGCTAATGTGGTTGTTGGCTGTTCCAGGGGCGCCTCTTCACAATGACCCATTACAAAGACAGCCGCTATGCCGGTTTGGTCCCCCTCCACATCATCCATTTTAGTCGTCATCGTGATTTCCTTCTCGCCTTCGGCCCACAGCCCCTTGGTCCATGCCGAGGGCTCAACATCTGACCAGACATGCTCGTTCCCTTCAACGCTGAAGGTAATGTTGGCCTTGGGGTTGATCCAAACCGGGTAGAGGAAAGTATCAGTACGGAAGGCTGTTTTGTCAGCTTTCAGCTTCTCGGGTTTGAGGACGCCAAGAGTCACGGATCCTTCCTTGCTTGGGTCGAACGCCGCGAACTTGTTCGTCCCGGATGTCTCCTTCAACATCCGCCACAGGTCAATGAAGACGTGCTTGTAAATCTCGTAAATCTCCGATCGCCATGGAGACACGACACTCCTCACATCGTATGGCTCCGCTGCGGCCAATGCTGCCGGGTTAAGTACTCGGAGCTCGGTGTGCGACAACCAGTAGCTGTGGTCCCACCTTGTTTCTTCGGGGTCATCCGAGATTCCGTTTCCAATTGCCTGTGTGATGGACTGGAAACATTCTTTGAGGGTGGTCTCTTGCAGGAGCTCCTCGTCTGTGAGAGGCGGGTCTACAAGCCACAGCCTCCGGAGCATCGTTGATACTTGTCGGACTACCGTGTTGTCCGAGAAGTCAACGAGACGAACCACTGGCTTGTCGAGTCGTTTGGCGCCGAAATCCTGGTGAGAATCAGTGAAAGACATAATTGTTGCAATTATTTTGTTCAGCGAGACAACGAACAGATGTGTGGAATGTTTACATATGTAGTCCCGCATCGATGAAGGCGGGGTGTGGATCTTGGGGTACGGGCGGCTTTATATTACCAAGACTATGCGTCTCCGCCTCGAGCTTCTCCGCGATCAGGGCGGAGTAAACTCGGTTTGATTTCCTTCATTGGCATAGGACGTCGGCTGCGCTTGATCACTTGTGGCTTTTTACCTGAAAGCCCGGACAGGAATAAACTCTGATTATTGCAAGAGGAGTCTTGGGATGCCTTCACGGATGTATGGCAGCCGACTTTTCGTGGCGAACCCCACCTACCTTTAGGCAACAACACTGTAGGTGTAGGAACACACGGCAATCAAAATAGGGAGAAACGCAGTCTAGTTCAGGCATCCGAGAACATGTCTCGAGGTCTGAGCTTTGTGCTTCTCCAAACCAGTGTTTCGATCTTTCTACCAGTAGAGCGAGCATGCCGTATTCCGAGGTACTGAGTCGATCTACCAAAAGAGGCTGTGCTTCCCTTGGAGCGTCATCTATCAGGGATGTGTTTGATTGTAGCATAATGAGGGAAGTCGTTTTCTTTGTATTTATTTAAAGAGGAGTATACCCAGTAAATAGTAATTATTCATTGCATGAATGAGGGTCTCGGTATGTTTAGCATCAAAAAAACACGTCAAACCTGGTGCCTCGTGTAAACCTATGTATAACTTGAAGTAATAGTTGGTTGCGGGATTCTACATCGGACTGCAACATCATCTGCACCCCTAGCAATGATGGCTGACGTTCTACCCGCCCACAGCATTTCTTGTGTCGGGACGCATAATCAATTCCTCTTCAACAACAACATGCTTGGGGGTTAGAACCGCAAACACTGCTCGAAAATTGGAGATTCGGCGAGTACGTCACACAATATGACAGTATCTCGGAGTATAAGCAATAACCGACGAGGCATACCTCAGCTCTGATAATTCCCAACAGGTGATGCTTTCGAAAAGGTTTGCACCGTCATGTACCGTTTGGCAAAGGCTTTCTTTGCAGATGCTTTCACGGCCCTCTTCAATGTTGGCCACTATATGAAGGCGCCGCGTATCAATTGATGGCTTCGGACGTGTGCGGAATAGAAGCGAAGCCAATTCACATATTGTGATCTTCGATACCGAGGTTGCTGTCCTGGGAAGTGTAGCGGTGAATTTGAGGCAGAGAACCATGTCCTTAAATGCCAGCGACTCTATGTAGTCATTGATCGCATCATTCTCATTATGCGTCAAAAACACCTGACTTCAACCCTCCGGACAATTGTGATGGACGCCAATGCATTTCTGTAACGACAGTATGGATCAAATACCTGCGTGCCGGCCTTGCAAGCCATGTCTGCAATATAAATAATTGCGGCCACATTTGCCGTAGTATAGAGTGAGACAGGCTCAGCCATAATAGATTGTGATTGTCTAAGTGACATATGGGCACTTCTTGACCAGGAGGGTACCTTCAACCTGGGCAGAGGGTACTTGTTGGACGAGGACAAAGATGGGTGTCTCTTTTGTAGGTTTAAATTGTTCCGCTGGCCATTATATTATGGTGCAGTGCCACTTCGCTACCAGATCTAGCTTGGCAGAAGGCGCCCAATGTGCTATGTGATCCAACTCGCAATACGGGCACCGGGTCTACTATGAAGTACAAAGTGATCATAGCCGCCGCGTCACTGGTCCCATCTTGGATACAGATATTCAATCACTCACTTGCCCGTCGCCCGTCTTGGACCAAGTCATGGTGTTTTGCAAGCGGTTTTTGGACAGCCGTCTAGTGTCGGGCCTTGCCATCATGTAAGTTCCAGTCTCCGAGGCAATCGGATCGCCATCCAGCTCCCTTGTGAAGAAATAGCATCATATATCCATTCTGCATCTGCCATACCGCTGAACAGATAATCGCGCCATAGCCTAGGATTCCGTACCCAATGAATCACCGCCTAGAGCACCATATGTCCCAGGCCCCTTTCCCCCAGCGCCCGATCAACAGCGTTCTTGACGTTAGCAAAAGCATCCATCCACCCCTGTCTTCCCTTGCTATCCTCACCGTCATCGACAAGCCAGTCCAGCCACCTTATCAGCTTCTTGGCCTTTTCCATATCTCTCTCCTCCGTCACAACGCGGGCAAGATATCTCTCAAATACCTCAACATCAGCCCTGTGCGGCCCTTCATCCTGAGTCTCTCTGTGCCAGGCACTCAGCATGTCCTTCACCTCTTGGATGGAGGTGAGCGAGGTTGCCGTGAATGAGACCTTGGCCGGGGGTTTTGGGAAGGCGATCTTGGTCTGGCCGCTGCTGGCCGTGCCCCTTGCCCGGTCCGCGGCATGACGCCGCCCGGGGCCTTGCAGGTTGAGGCCGAGTCCCGACTTCTGAGCGAGTTTGCGCCTGCGGTGATCGGCTATGACTTCCTTGCGGACCTCCTCCGGCAGCTCAGCCAGGAAGGCCTGGTCGAGCTCCTCGATCTCCTCTACGGCGCTCTCCAGTGCTGACCTCCTGTTGCCCACCGCAACGAAGCTCGTCTGCATCAGCCCGACACTGGCATCTCGCTGCCTCTCGCGCGTCCTGCTCAGCATGCCCCTGGTCCCGCCCCGTCCTCGTCCTCTTTTGGCAGGGCTTCTTTGAGGCTGCGGACGGATAATACGGTCCCGACGTGGTGATTGTGGTTGGACAGGTACACTGGGTGGATTTCGGGCCCTTGGAGCGTATTGTGCAAGCACTTCGGTCTTCATCTCGTCCGGGAGGGCATTGAACACTTCGGGGTCAATGTCTGCTGGAATTTGAGGCTCAAATACAGCTGGACTCTGATCCCGCGACTGGCGTCCGCCTGTGTTTTGCAATACAGGCGAGCCCTCTCTCGATGATACCAAATTGGGGTCTCGACGGGGCTGCTGCGCCATGAGTCGGCTTCGGATGTCTTGGGGAAGTGCTGCAACGACTTCCGGGTCTGGATTTGACGGCATGATAAATTGAGTCCCCATGACGTTCAACGGCGTGTTCGCTTTCTTATCAGCCTCATTTGCTCTGGACAATGCAAGAGCAGGATGTATGGAGAGCCCTTTCGGCTTCCGCGGAGTAAGTGGGTTATCCGAGATAGGGTCTCCAGACACATCTCGCCGTGTCTGTTCAGCTGCAATTGCTGCTTTTGCCGGGCTACCGGCTTCGGAAATGTCATCGAAACCAATGGGTGCCATTGGTGCTACCGGTTTCTTCGATGGATGAGAACCAGCATTCCCAAAAGCACCAAAATCGAGTCTCTTCTGGCTCCCATCAGGCGCCGCCGAGGGCTTGATCGGTTCCAATCTTTGCATCTGGACACCCAAGCCGCGCAGGTCTCCAGGGCTGAACTTGAAGGATCGCAGTATGGAGACAGCCTCTTTGCCGATCTTGTCGGCATCATAAGTCGCGACCCCAAATGATGTGCTCTTGTTGAATGTATCACACTTCCCATGGCCTAGGTGTTTTGCAGGGTCCAGTGGCGCGTCTAGAGCCCGTCGCATTATCTTCATTGTGAGATTTGTGCCCTTGACACCCTCGTTCAACAGACGTTTTTCCAGCTCTTTGCAGAGGTTCATGACGAATTCCTCGGCCTCGGGTTGGTTGAGAAAGCGGATACCCCAGTTGACTTCTGCTGAGACAGACTTGCGGATGGACACGTCGCCCACTTCCGCGCGGTCGATGCCCCTCGAGTACTCCCAGATTTTCTCGCCTGTCTTGGGGCCAAGAACAGACACCAGACGCTCTTTCGAGACTTCTCTAATATCCTTGACCAGCTTGATTCCAACCTCCTCTAACTTCCCGCCGATGCTGTGCGCTACACCTGGCAGGTCTTCCACCGTAAGCTCGGCTAGAAAGTCGAGGACCTCCTCCGGCTTAATTTGGTACTGGCCCGCAGGCTTCGCTTTGCGAAGTGCGACCTTGGCGAGGAGAATGTTTCCGCCGATGCCAACGGAGACTTGACAGCCCGTTCTTTCCTTGATTCGCTTGCGAAGATCACTAGCAAGCTGATTCGCCTTCTCTTGTTCTCTCCAAACGTTTCCCTCGGAGACACCGTGGCCATGCGACCCCGAACCAGCCAGGACAAGCGTAGTGATATCAACGAGAGCCTCGTCGATACTGACACTCTGGACAATACCACCCACTTCTAGTATTGCTTCATAGAACAGCCTACTAGCTTCCTCATACGCAGGGAAATCATAGGGTAGAACCTTGAGGTCTGGGCACAGTTCCAGGGCTCGTTTCATCCACATTCCATTCTTGACACCAAACTTCCGCGCAGGATAGTTACAGGAAGCGATCTCTGATCCTGTACCAGTGCCGTGTGCCACCACAGCTGGCTTGTCGACATACTCCGGTGCATTCTTGAGAGAGACCGTACAAAAGAAACTATCAAAGTCCACATGCATGACATAACGCCGGGAGCCAGGTCGGCGCTTGACAGCTTTGGCTGTGCTGGTGCCCTTTTCACTAGCGAGTCTTTGCATTTTGGACTTGAGTTCTGCCTTCCACGTTGATAAGTGATGCAGACGACTCTCCGAGTAGTACTGCTTGAGGAAGTCTGGATTTGCGGTAGACGATTTTCTCAGTCTCGGATCGGACAGAAGCCATGCGTTGTGCTCCTCGGACGTCAGGGCATTGTTGTGGTATGCAGTGGCGGGAGAATCGGGTGCGGGTGGGTGTGAACTCTCGTCGGTTCGGACGGGCCCATTGACCACCCCTGGATTTTCAGCATTTATGGACGCCACGGCACCATCGACGGCTTTCTCTGGAGGTCCTTCAGGCATGGGAGATGAAGTGTTGGCCTCAACCATTTCAAGGTCTTTCAGAACATCGCCGCCATAGTCATCCTCGATGTGTTCAGGTGCCCTGAGTCTAGATGGAGTATACTTGGACGGCGTCGGGGTCTGTACCGTGGTGGACGAGCTTGGCAGACTGCCCATGTTGGCCGTAGCTGGCTTTTTGAATTGGCCTGTGTAGAAGCTGCTCTGAATCTGGTCATGGTAGCCCCTCCGCGGTGTGTTCACTTGTGACGCGATTTTCCCATCTTCCCCAAACTTGATGACTTTCTGCCTGGGACCCTCATCGATTACTCTGTACTCGTCCCATGGTAGCATGCGGCCCGCAGCAATCGAGTCCACGACCCAGGCCGGTTTCACTATCCTGTAGCTACTGAACTCGGTAGCCTTCTTGGGCGTAAGTGACGATGCGATGATGTGGGTGGCCATGGTCTTCGAGTCCAGGTACTGTAGAAAGCCGGCGCCATGTTCGACCAGCTGCTTGTGTAAGATGTGCAGAGGCGGCTGTGTGTATCCAGATACGTGGGCGACGACGCCTTTGAAGATCTGTGGCTTGCTGCTGCCTTGCCGGAGTTCAGCATCCAAATTCTGAAGCTTGATCTTCTTGCGACGGAAGTAGTCGCCGAAGCCTCCGAAGGCGCTTGGTTCGTACTCCTCGCCGGCTTCGTCGGAGAAAGTGTGGTCCTCGATGCGCTTACGCACGACGTTTGAGTTCTTGTCGAGACGGCTGCCCATTTTGAATGAAGCTCAAATGATGGTCTCGGACATCAGCCCTTCTTTCTGTGTGGGCCAACGAGGGACGACAAAGCCAGGGCAGTCATAATGCTTGTACGTCCGAGCAGGCATCCAAGCGGTCCAAGATCAAGCCCAAAAGCTGCTTCTAAGTTATGCAAGGGTATAAGCAAGGTTTGTCACATCAGCTTGAGCACGCTGTAGGGCGAAAGGCGAGTTTGTGTAAGACTCGCGCCGGTGGAACCGACCGACGTAACGCGTAGCCCGCAGCCCGTCACCGCGAACTCAGCTGACCACTTTATGAAAGAAACCCTAACCCTTTCAGTGCCGGGTGGGAGGGGGGTGGGGTGGTCGGTAGGCCAAACCTCCAGTCAGGGTCCAATGTTTCTATCCTCCACCTCCTACCGACCATCCACTCTCTGCTGGGATTGTATTTTCGTGGCGGAGGTGACAATATGAACAACGAGCAATTCCGGAAACTCCTCCTCAATAACTCCGCCAAGCCGCCAAGCGCAGCTCAGAATGGCGCCTCGCCATCTCCGCGGGCGACTGGTGGGGCTACGTCCTCTGCCCTCGGATCGCGGATGAAGTCTAGCATCCCGATGACACCGTGAGTTACCTTCCAGCTCGTGAAGACATTTCTTCAGGCTAGATCAAGACTACGTACTGACCCCGGTGTATCGCAGACGATCCGTCGCTGGTGGAGGGGGAGGACGTCTCGACTTTGCGCGCCAACTCGCGGAGCGTAATGAACAAGACAGACCAAAGAAGAAATTCCGAACATCCGCACCCAAAGGCACCAAATTCGCAGAAGGCTACGTAGACCGCGCAAAACAAAGGCAGTCAGAGCAGGAAGAGGACGACAAGGCCGCCCGGATACAGGCTCTAGAGGAGTCATTGAAAAAGGAGGAAATCACCCAAGCCACGTTCGAGAAACTAAGGGATGAAATCGCGGGCGGCGATCTGTCGAGTACGCACTTGATCAAAGGCCTTGACTTCAAGTTGCTCGAAAGGGTCAGGAAGGGCGAGGACGTGTTCGGTGGGGATAAGCCCAAACAGGCGAAAGAAGAGCCGTCGCCCGGGGACGAGGTTGAGCCCGAGGCTGAGGACTTGGACGATGCATTCGAGCAGCTAGAGGGGAAGGAGGTCACCGCCATCGAGAAGGAGAAGGCGAGGAAGAAGGGGCAACTGGCTACCAGGGCGCTGGTTCCTGGGCAGAAGCGGACGCGGGACCAGATCTTGGCCGAGATGAAGGCTGCCCGTGAAGCCGCAAAAGCTCAGCAGGAGTCGGCTTTGGGGTCGAAGTTCAAAAAGATCGGCGCCAAGAAGGAACCAGGCTCAAGGATAGAGCGCGATGCCAAAGGCAGAGAGGTACTTATCATTGTTGACGAGGACGGGAATGAGAAGCGCAAAGTCCGAAAAGTCGCAGCAGAGGTCGAGAAAGAACGGGAAGCCTTCAAGGTTGATCCCAAGGCCGAAGTGCTGGGCATGGATGTGCCGGAGTTCTACAAGAAGAAGCTGGAAGAACAGGCAAAGGCGGACGAGGACGTGGCCATGTTCTCTGACGTGGAGTCAGACTACGACCCCCTTGGTGGCATCTCAGACTCGGACGACAGCGACGAGCCTGGTGACAATGAGGCGGAGAAGGGGGCTAAGGAGAAGTCCCATTCACCAAGGAGCGAGGGCGAAGTCAACCCCGAAGGCCGGGCCGCGTTGGAGGAGGACACGCCGCCTCCGCCGAAACCACAAGCACAGCATCCTCGCAATTACTTCAAGTCGGGCTTGATATCTGAGGAGCAGACCGCGCGACCGGCCATGAACGACCCGTCGGTGCTGGCAGCCCTCAAGAAGGCTAAGACGCTTAATGCAGCTACCAAGTCGGAGGAAGAGCAAAAGGAGGCCGAGAGGCAAGAGAGGCTCAAGAAGATGATGGCATCCGCAGACCGCGATGCGGAAGACATGGACCTGGGCTTTGGAACGAACCGCCTGGCGGATGAGGAGGAGCTGGCGGATGACGGCAAGACGAAGCTGTCCAGGTGGGGCGATGACGACGACGGTGAGGAAGGGGGCGGTGGCAAGTCTAAACGCAAGCGAGGCCCCAAGAAGAAGAAGGGAGACGTGAACAATGTTGCAGACGTGATGAAGGTGCTTGAGAAGAGGAAAGCAGCCGGGTCGTAAGGAATGAGCTGTGGCTCAGGGGAGTGAGTTGCTCACGTCTGCACCGGTAGCCACATGCTGAATTGATGATACCCTCGTGCATGATAAAACGGTTTTGAGTGTCTCTCTTTTCTGACGAGTTGAACGTGAGTTGGCACTCAGTAATAGTGATGCAGTGTTGGTTCTGACTCCCACGGCACCCGCCGAAATGCGGCACATGTGATAAAGCCGTACGCCCGCTTTGTTGCCGGGGGCGCCGCATAGAAGTGGGCGGCCTTGGACCTCCGCCTCGGCGACCGCTCCTGCGGGAGACCGAACCACTGACCCGTGTCGTTTCCTGCTGTTGTTGTGCCTTTCAATATTTCAACCACCTTTTCGACTACTGCAAGGCAACCTTGGAAAGCCAGACATTTCCACCCCCACCCCCGACGTCTTTTTTCTCCCCTGCACACGTGGGAAACCAGACACATCACATTCTGCCGAGATGACCGAGGATGAGAGAGTTCCGGTCTGGCTGGACGCCGACCCTGGACACGATGTGAGTTAGGTTTGCAAGCATGGGTGAAACCCGGGCTGGCCGTTTAGACTTTGATTGTCAACAGCCTGAGACAATTTGGGAATCCGGAGAAGTCCTGTGGCTGCTGCAGGCCCGCCATCTAGACGGGGTTGGAGACCATTCGCTTCACCGCAACTCATGTCCCAAGACTCCCAGCTCAAGTGCTGTCGGTGCCGGGTACCAAGTTTAGTCCGCCGCGCTGACCAGAGCCCAGGACGTCTTCGCCATTCTTCTCGCGGCATATCATCCCGGAATCAAGCTTTTAGGCATATCAACCGTCTTTGGCAATGCTCCGCTAGAGTACGTCCCACCCAGGGGGGGCACCCAAGGGGGGGTGTTACCGCCATGCCCACAGCTGACCACACACTGCCCTCACCAGGAAGACGACGTGGAATGCCACCAGCGTGCTCACGGCCATTGGCCAGCATGACCGCATCCCAATCTACCCGGGCGCCTCGTCGCCGCTCCTGAGGCCGCGCCTGTCCGAGAACGCCGAGGATATCCACGGCGAGAGTGGCCTGGACGGGACCACCTTGCTACCCGAGCCGCTCGTCCAGCCGCGGAAGGACGTCGCCGCCATCGATGCCGCCGCCGCCGCCCTACGCTCGTGCAAGCCCGGCACAGCGTGGGTTGTCGCAACCGGAAGCCTGACGAATGCGGCCAAGCTGTTCCAGACGTACCCCGACTTGATCGGCCACGTCAAGGGGCTGAGTCTCATGGGAGGTGCGGTGGGAGACGGCTTCACCAGTGCTGTGTATGGCATTGTTGATGGCAAGGCTCGCATTGGAAATTGGACACCCTGGGCCGAGTTGTAAGTCTGCTGTGTCTGTGCTGTGCTGTCACATTCTGCCAAGTCCCATTCATATCGCCAGCGTACAAGATGAGATGGCGCCGAGGCTCGAGAATACGCGTGTGTGGATGCTCCCTCGCCTCCGGTGCTACATAAAACCATCCGAGCACGGCCAATATCACAGTCTACTAGATCAGGACCTTGGCCTCTTGCTGACCCATGAGCATGTAGCAACATCATCATCGATCCCGAGGCCTCGGCGTTCATATTTGACACCAAGGAACTCGCCGCCAAGACGACCATTCTGCCTCTTGACACGACACATCTTGTGCTCGCGAGGCAGGATGTCCAGGAACTCCTCCTCTACGGGGCTGACACGGCTCCTCTGAACGACTCCAAAACGGAGCCGGTCGAGACCACCGGGCCGAGGGTTGGCAAGACAGTGCTCCGAACCATGCTCGTCGAGTTACTCATGTTCTTCGCAAAGACGTACAAGTGAGTGTAGACAGCAGCCAGTCACCATCATTTCCGTCCATTTCCGATGACGCTAACGGGCCTCTGTGCTTTTCCAGGGACGTATTCGGCATCATTGAGGGCCCTCCTCTGCACGACCCGCTGGCAGTAGCCGCGGTGCTGACCGGCACCAAGTGGGAAATTGCCTTTGATGAGTGTGACCCCAACTCAGCATCCGACAACCCGAACAAGCGTGAGCGGTTTGCCGTCAAGGTCATCACCGAGGGTACTCACGACGACGCCCTCCACCATGGGTCGCAGCTCGGCCGGACCATCGCAACGTTGCTTCCGGCCGGGGAGGAGGGCGTGCGGATACCGAGGGGCCTCGATACCACCAAGTTCTGGCAGGTCTTGGAGGAATGTGTCCAGCGCGCCGACGAAGTGAACGCTGCCAGGGCTGCCGCCGTACCGAGAAATTAGATGGTTAAGAGCCGTCATTGACAGGTGGTTCATTACGCAACGAGCCTCCACCGTCCCTCAGCAGTTGCTACGCTGCTGATCAGGCATTCATCAGGCGCCAGGTCGCAATCACAGAGCTGTGTGGCCAGTGACGGCCATCCCTGCCTTCTGTCTTCTGTAGCATCCGCCCATTACTTGATACTGTGTAGATAGCATAGAATCCAACTGTCCTGCCCGCCGCCGGGAAGACCTGAGACAGCCCAGAGCTAATAGCCTCCCAGTCACACCCAAGACGGGGCGAGAGCATACGAGAGAGTGCGGGATCTGCCCCAAGAGCGATGTCATCTCCAAGGAAAGAAAATTCCTAGCCTCCAGCTGCCTCCCATTTCGAAAAGCCCAGCCAGCAAGCCCCTTCCGCGCCTTTCCTATTCCAAGACCAAGATCCTCTAGCACTCTTGAGCATTTCCTCTTCCGTCACGACCAGACGCGCGCGATGTGACCGTGACCCTCTGAGCAGCCCAGTGCCGATCGCAAGTCTAACGACTCGGGGGACGTGACAAGGCCACCTGGGCCACAGCCGTCCACACTACTTCACCGGAACACGACCGCGATGGGCGGAGGTTTCTTATTTCTCCGCTGTGCCATGCGGCTTCGTCCTTGATCGTGTGTGGAGGGAGCCCCGTTCCCGCGCCTCCCCCGATATTGGCGTCTGCTCCGATCTCAGATAGGCGAGATGTCAATGCTACAATGAATTAGGGTTTTGCTCTCATTTCCCCATCTGCGCTCGCAGCCCCTCTGTGGAAGTCTCAACTCGAAGTCAAAACGACGGATAGCTTTGCGGGCAGTCACAATCAACGACAGACATGTCACTAAAGGGCTTCCCATGCTTCAGCCAAGTGGTAGTACACATGTGTAGTAAGGAGGCGATGCGTGCCCCGGCAGGCCATCCCTGAGCTGCGTTCAGGAACAGGACAGCTCCCAAGACACAACGGCCGAACTGTCGTAATGCGACATGCTATAGGTATGACCAGGGGAGGGGGAAACGCGGCGCATGGCAAGCAAGTAACCCAAGACGCAGGATACATCTTCCCATCTGGCCAGTGACGATGACGCCTGCGGCTCGGGAGCAAGTTAATCTAGACGAAACAACACAGACTTTTACCTGTCTGCACGGCGGACAAGCCAATCGCCAGATGAGCCACATCCCGGCATAACATGGTTTCTACTGGACGGACGGTTGATCCCAGGGCTGATCGTCGGCATAATTGTGCGAGGTGGCAGTTCCTCTGAGAGGGCCCCGGCCGTCCCATCTTCATGAGCATATGCCAGCCTCAATCAACATAAGCCCTGCGCAACAGATCCCACCATCTCCCCCGTTGAGCATGCAGGCAGGGCCTGCAAGAAGCAGGGAGACAGGCATTGCGGGAAGCACAGGCATCACGCATCAATCACTGATGCGCGACACCTGCCTGCCTGCCTGCTTGTGTTGATCGGACGGAAAAACTTGCTCAAAACCTCCCACACGCGCACATCTTATAGCGGCCTGGAAGATCCTCGGGAGGAGAGGGATGGGCCAACGAGAGCTGGGCAGGCTGAACCGAACCGACCCGGCTCGCCCGAGACAAATCCGCAAGGCTGTGCCTGTGCCTTAGCCGGCACCTGGGAAAGCTTGGAGACGCGGCCATGCATGAAATGCAAGAGTGCAGTGTACCAGGTCTCCCGACGGCGGCCTCCGTCTGCAAGAAGCTCGGGGCGGACTGGAGATCTGAGCCGATCATATGCACTTCTTAACGGCCTTGTCAAAGTAGGGTGTGAGGCTGCGAGAAACAGCCGTCATGCAGTGGTCAAAGTTATCCAAGACCTTACTTGACCCGTTCTGCCCGCTGGAAACAAACGGGCCACGGCCGCAAAATCAACCCAACTTGGGTATTTTGGACGATCGCTTAGCATTAGCATTAGCATTAGCATTAGCACCCGCATCTGATTAGCGCTGTCGTGTTGACATTGCACAGCGGTGGTATCACAAGAGTCGTGACACCTTAAATGTGACTCGGCAGTGACGGAGGTTTAAGATTGTCTCCAATATGCGATGTGTGTATCTGAGAACGTCAAACTGCACGCCATCCATGTCAAGACGTACTTGATGAGAACAGACACCAAGCCTCCCGGGCTGCCGGGGACGGACACGCACCAGTCCACGCACCCGGCCACCTTGCTTACGTCGCAGCACCCAACGCCCGTGCCCTTCCCCGCTGTCAAATGACAGTCGGCCGTCAGAAGAGCAGGCAGGACCCCCCGAGATCCCAACCGCGCTCCGGATGGCAATCTGCAGTTCCCACAGACGTCGTAGCACGAGAACATAGAACGGGGATTGGAGAGCAGAGACCGCGCACCCGGAGTTCTACCGGATCACCCATGGATCGGGGTTCTGCTTCGGCGCACTCGGTCGCAGAAGAGAGCTGAACGGTGGTGCCGCTCGTATCCAGGTGTGCTCGCGTTTGCGGGAACCGCAGTACCGCCGCCATAAAGCCTCGCAGGGTGCTTTGGGCAGAAGAGCACCCGCGCAACCTCTGCCGCGCTGAAGATAAAACACCACCACCACAACAATCATGCCAATACGTAGGCGTATACGCACGCACCCAAGGAAGATCGAAATGGCGTTCCAGAACGTGGCAGAACCTCGGCGGGAGGTCGCTTGCCACCGAGTGCGCCCGGCCGGAGCAGACTGCCCACAACGGTGCGGTGGGAAGAGGATCCCTCCAGCAGCGCTGCAACGTGCCCTTAGTCCTCGGTGTATACACCGGTGCTGAGGTACGCACTTCAATGCAGGACCAGTACTGGACGGGACCACTTCCAACTTTGTCGGAGTCCAAAATAGTTTTGAAACAGCCGAGGCGGGCGGCACCGGCGTATCTTGTTTGGGGGGGGGGGGCCTGGACAGCGTGGACTGAGCGAGACGACCACACTGTTGCAGAGCCATCTTCAGGGCCTCTCGCCAGCCGCTCCGTGGGCTATCATAGCAGAGAAGCATGGGGCAACCCAAGGGATCTGCGCGTCAACCCTCTCTCCCCATGCTGTCTCGACAGGGCATCCTTCTCGTCGCCGGCACAGCCCTGCTGGGGACTCCCCTCGACATTGCGATGGGGAGATCTACGGCTTGCGTTGTGACCTGATCTGCCCTGGTACGTAGTGCACAGCAGTTGGGACGATGCTGAGTCAAGCGGAAGCAGGCATATCCTGCCAGCATTCTAGCCAGAGTGTCCCTGTCGGACAAAGCCTGCCCTCCGCACAAGCCTGAGATAGAGCTGGCAATGACGAGGACGGCCGAGGCTGCGCAGCCGCAACTGGCCAGGCAAGCCAGGGCAGCGGGACACCAAAGCAGCAGGGCAAGCACCACTTGGAACAATTGGGACAGGCCGCTCGACTGAACTCTAAAACATCGGATTGTATAGATTGGCTATGTGAATTAATGGCATGGAAACCAAGCGACAGACGGCATCTCGTACCTGGCAGATCCTCCGAACCTTGTTCCGCCGCATCATCGACCCAGTGCCGTGGCAGCCAACGAGATGCAACCGCAGGCCTCGTCCCCCGAGCGTCGCGGGAGGCGTTGCGTTGCGGGAGGCGCGGCCGGCCCCCAAAACAGTCGGCACGGGCTCTCAAAGTTTAAAACTGGAAAGCGCGTCCTGCAGGATCTGGCGAGCACTGCGATTGCTGTGGTTAGTTGGGCGAGGGGGATGGGACGACGGTCCCCCAATCATTCGACGAGCACCCGATCGCGATGCCAAGCGGTCACGGTGCATATGCCGAGGTCGGGTCCAGACGAACGGGTCACCCCGAGGGCGTTGGCAGCGTGCAGTGCTGCAGCCTGGCGTGCAGCCTGCAGCTGCTGTTGGCAGGTTGGTAGCTAAGCCTCGCCCCCATCACAACACCTTGTACCTTGACGGCTTGGTGCGACAGGTGCGACAGCTAAATCTCTGCATCGGCCAGGAATGCATCAGGATCCCCTACTACCTGCCCAGAAAGGCAATCATCCCCTTGGAGGACAGGAAGAAGGCGCTGTCTTGGAAGGATGCCAGACTGCAGCGGACCGAAACGTCGTCAGTGATAAGGCCGACGCAGCTGTACCTTGCGCCCGCAACCCACGATGCTCGAGCCGTGGTAGAGGATGCAGTCCGGGTGTCCTGCGATCGGGACCTAGTTCCTGGGTGTCATTTCGCGCAACGGGTGGAAACGACATCGCACGAAACAAGATCAGTCGGCTCGCAACCCGGCCTTCTGTTGATCAACGCGCACCGTCAGGCCAGCAGGCCTAGCACTGCATAACTCTTGCTGGGCTACCTAGGCCTCTGATCTGGTCTGCCCCGAGGAGATGCGCAGCTCCCAGCGCGGCCTAGGGGAGGGGTCCCTTTGATGCAGCAGGGACGGCGGCGGACGCTTGTGAAGGCAGCAGTTTGTGGTCTGGTCTACCCGACTGGGCTCGACTCATTAGTCCTCATTGGTTCTCGTTCGTTACCTGGCCCGCCATGATGTCTTCCCCACGTTGATGCCAAAGCTGCTCTGACGTTGATGCGAGAGCCCAGCAAGTGACAGAGAGACAGGGTTGGCTCCCAGAGCTTCCAGACCGTGACAGCGTGAACCGTATCTGCGGTTCCAGCTCTTCGGCACGCATGGGACAGCCTGCAACATGCAATCTGCACCCCTGCGTCTCCCCCTCAGTTGGCGTCGAGTCTGCGAGTCTGCTAGCCCGCCAGGCCGCCTGCTCAGCACCTGAGCAGCCACTGAGCTCTCGATTGGCCCTGCAGTAGTGCCCTGTTGGTGCTGCGGCCTCGCAACCACCACGCAGCCAGTCAGCCAGTTGTAGAGAGCACATGGCCGGGTGGTTTCAGGTCTGAGACTTTCCCACTTTCAACAGCCCAGAAGAGCGTGCGTCTGTCTGGCCGAGTCCCCCTTTGGGTTCCTCGGCGAAGGCTAGCAGCCAACAAAGCACTGGTTGCTGCGCGGATCTTAACAACAACAGAGAGATGCTAGGCATGCGATACTGGCACACTGGCTGCTTTTTGCCCAAAAGACTAGCCGCGAGCTGCGGTGGCACACAGTAGGAGGATTCGAGCTCGGTCCGCACCCCGCGCATCCTGTCTTGGCCAGGTTTCCGACTGCATTTGATGCCTCCAGCCAGCCAGCCAGCGTAGAAGCAGATTCCTGCAAGTCCTGCACTGCCTGACTGACAGCCAGCCAGCCAGCGCTGCCTCGATCGAAGTCCATGCGGTAGGTGGCCTGATAGGTAAGGCTCTTGCTTTTCTGAGGGCCGACAATTGCCTGGATCTGAGACACCCACAGGGCAGAGAGGAAGCTGTCAAACGGCGGGGTACCCTTCCCGTCGAGATTGCGGTCCCATCCGAGACAGTCTGGCAAGAAGCAGCATTACAACGATCGCCGCCCTTGTCATCCACCGCCTTACCACATGAGGCCTAGAACTCGCGACCATCGACGGTGTGCGAGGCATTTGGGGCCAGGCTGCCAGGGCCCATTGGGCCCCACGGCCGGGTCTTGGAAGATTGTCGAGAGGCGATCGCCGGATGCTACAAAGAACGAGGCCGGACGTTATCTCTCGTGGCAGACGTCCCGATGCTGCCACCCCCACGGAGGATGCGTGTACAAAATTCACTCGTGGGGTCGCTTCTGCGGGATGAACTGTTCCCTCCCAGGACCCTCAGCCCTCGCAGGAACAGACGAGCTGGGCAACGGCCACAGGAGGCGGTCTGGTGCCGCTAATGTGTCCCGACCTGCCCGGCCTGCGTTCGCGAACATTCCGCGTGCCACTCCGCACTGCACCGCACACCGACTGGGACGGCCTCTTCTTGGCCTGTTGGCGAGCATGTTCTCTGAAATCCTTCTGGAAGGTCCCTCGGCGTGGCCGCGACCGTCCTCATTTCATGGGCAGCGACGGTATGATCGCCGCCTCAGTGTAAACATTGCCTATGCTGCTAGGTCGCAGCATCGTGGACCTCAATTATACTGGCCGGCAGACTATTGGCACCCAGGGATTGGCCGAATCAAAGCGTCGGGCGATGCTTGCTGGCTGGACGCATGCGATAAATGAAGTGGATGGCGCGAGTCAAATTGGAAGCGGCGTCGCAGAGGCGACCTGGACCCCGCCGAGCCTGGAGCCAGCAGGCCTGCCAGGCGTGCCCACTCCCACTCCCACGCCGCCTGTTCGAAGCACCTCTCAGCGCCCGCTGAAACCTTCGAGAAGGGACAAGGAAGGCTCTGCTAGCCAGGACCGCGGAATTGCCAATTGGTCACCGGCCCCGCAAGTCTGCCGGCTTGATGGGCCCGACAGGGTGCGCCCTGTCACCGTGCGAGAAGCTCTCGAGTGAACCCGAACAAAGTGCGTGTCTGATGGATGTCGGAAGAGTCAACACAATGTCGCCAGCGAAGGCACTACTACATAGTATCATCTCGATAACGCTCACCGATCAAAGAACGCGCCCACGAGGTTCCCACACCGGTCCTCATGCGATGCATGTCCCGTGCGCATGGCAGAGCAACCGTCGAGACACGGCGCGGCCCAGAGCTCACCGCATCGATCTGCCAGAGTTTATTGCTGCATAGTACACAGTAGTACGCAAATTGTACGGCGGGGTGGCCACAATGGACCCTTGCATGGAGCTTAGCCCTGTTCATAAAACGTTGTTTAAGCCTGCCACAGCCGTCTGTTCTCGGCAGAGGTTCTGTGCCTATCTTGCCCATGTATCTAAAGCGTGAAGTCGGTTGTCTCTTGGGCCAAAACAGAGAGAGTCAAGAGTCAATGCATCTCGGTATGAAAAGCGGTGGCTCCATCCTGTGTCATCCCGAGCGCTCACAGCATCTGCGAATGCGCCGCCCGAGTCTGCTCGTGCAGCCCGGTCAAGAATGGCCAGGTTATGCAGAGATAGGCGAGCTGCTCGCCATCCAGGTTCGTGAGATCCCCACGGTGAAGCTTTCGACGCTCAGAGGATCCAGGCCCGCAGAGATGGTACGACAGATTGCAAAGCCTAGGGGGACCCTGTCTGGTTCATGCGAGCCAGTGTGAGAATCCGGGGCAGCAGAGCTGCTTGGGCCGGGGAGGTCGGCCCTTACCCATCAGGGCCGCCCCTCTTTGGGCCGCCTCGAGAGCCACCAGTCAAGAACCTGAAGGCCACCCGCGGGCCGCAAACCAGCGGTCCGTAACCGTGCTAGGCCCCAGAGCTGGACGCAGTCGACGACCATAGATTCTTCAACGGTGAGTCCCAGTCCACTTGTCTATCTTGGAGAGCCCTGTGTACTAGTTCAGCCGCCAGCGGCTGGGTCGTCTGGCGAAATTCGCTCGACGAGCAAGCGACATGGGATCGTGACAATGCTTCGTGGCCAACACCACAGATGCCAGAGCATCTTGGTCATGTGAAAGAGGTAGTTATCCCAGGACGGCTAGCAGGTGTCGCAGGTGGGTACGCCTCTGTCCAAAATGGTTCTTGCAGCGATGATCTAGCAAGGCTGTGGGGAATCATACCGTAGCATGGCACATGTCTCGTTGTCCCTCTTCGACCGGGCTGGCCATAGGGTGACTGGGGACACGGCGAAGCCCATCTGCCGGCAGTCGCAGATGGAGCAACAACAACACATGGCGAACCGACACTAGACTCCCTCAGTAACGTGCTGGCACACCTTACTGACTGAGTCGCCGAGTCGGCCGACGGACACCTCCGAGACGACCTCGAGGACCTCAGGTCGTGAGCCGCGGGTTTCGAGACGAAGGTTGAGTTGAGATGCGAGACGTTGCAGGGTAGAGACGTCTCCCATCACCTCGGACATCAATCAAACTAGGTTCGATCATCACCCACCAGCACCCAGCCGGTTGGTGGCGAGTTCGGGCTGGGAGCAGGCAATCCATGATAAAATCGCGCTTATCTAGGCCCCAAGTCCTGGAGCCCCGGCGGCGTGGAAAGGTAGTCGCAGATCACCTCCGCCAAGCACAATTGGGGAGGGCCTCGACGAGAGAGCCCCGGTGGAGGGGCCGCCTGGCCTCACACGGCAGCAGCTGGTCGATACCGCTGGGTGCCATGGCTTGCATGGCTAGATTCCTGGACCAACGATTGTGGCACCCGTCAAACCACAGTACTCGTTATTAGCGAGAGCCTCTGCCGGTTCCGGCAGCCCTGGACCCTGGTGTGGGCTGTGTGGGTGCAACGCTGCGGTGCAGAGTTGTCAGGTTCCGCTGCTTAGCGAGGCCTGACAGATGGATACAGGACCACGGTTCGCGGGAATTTAGCAAAAGACGGTCTGACGGCTCATGGGCAACGGGAAACGGGGCCGGTCAGTAGTGTATACAAGTGTGGTCTCCCCCGGCACACAGTACAGATTTCCGAATACTGTGCGCAGAGTGAGTGAACAAGGGCTCGGTGTTGGCGAGACTCGAGGTCGCGAGGGCCTCGAATGACTCGGGAGAGACGACGGGAGGGCCCGCCGGGTCTGCTGCCCATCTACACAGTACGCTTCAGATCTCAGCAAGAGGCCCGATCTG